TGGTGCGATATGCTGGACGCTCTGGAGAACACCTTCCACGTGCCGGCATACCTCATGCGCATCATAGAGGATTATCTCCGGTTTCGCCTCCTAATGTATGACACTGCGGAGGGCCCGCGGACGATGAGTGTCACTTCTGGTGCTGCCCAAGGTTCCATACTCGGCCCAGACCTCTGGAACGTCGCTTATGACAGCCTTCTGAGGTCTGAAATGCCTGAGGAAACGGTCTTGGTTGGGTACGCAGACGACGTTGCAGCTTTGATAGCTGCACGTAGCGTTGGGCTGGCTCAGCTAAAGCTAAACCGAGTTATGCGTACCATAAACGCATGGATGGCAGACCACGGTCTCTCGCTTGCTCTGAGCAAAACCGAGATTGTGATTTTGACAAAAAAACGGATTGACACCATCGTGCCGTTGAGGGTGGGAGCCGTCAAGGTTCAAACTGTTCGTTCTGCCAAGTATCTTGGGGTCATGGTAGACAGCAAGCTTAGCTGGCGGGATCAGATCTTCCGTACAGCGGACAAGGCCGCTAGGGTGGTTTCTTCTCTTAGCCGGTTGATGGCCAATGTCGGAGGGCCTCGGTCCAGTCGTAGAAGGCTGTTAATGTCTTCGGTCCAGTCCGTACTCTTGTACCGTGCGGAGGTGTGGGCAGACGCACTAAATAAGGAGGCATACAGGATAAGGCTCGCCCGAGTGCAGCGTCAGGCAGCACTGAGGGTAGCATCTGCCTACCGAACAGTGTCCGAGCCCGCCGTCCTGGTGATTGCTGGAGTCATCCCCGTCAAACTTTTGGCGGCGGAGAGAAAGGCAATTTACCGGCGCCGTGGTGAGGACGAGGCACGAACAGAGGAACGCACCCGCACCTACCAGCTGTGGCAGGAGGGCTGGGAACAGGAGACACGGGGACTCTGGACCAGGCGACTGATACAGCAAGTCCAACCTTGGGTTGATCGGCGGTACGGAGAGGTGGACTTCTACCTCACCCAATTTCTGACGGGACACGGCTTTTTCCGGTCGTACTTTTTCAGGATGGGCAAAGCCGTGTCACCCGACTGCATATACTGCCCAGACATTCTCGATGACGTGGAACATACATTTTTCCACTGCCAGCGCTGGGAAAGGCCCCGCCTGGAGGCTCAACAGTTAATAGGACTGCTGTCGGTGGACACAGTCATACTGATTATGACGGAGGGTGAGGACAATTGGACCTGTGTGTCACATTATATCCAGGGTATTCTTCGTGCCAAGAAGATCGACCTTGACCGTGATGCGGTGTAGGTCATTAAGAATCTAAATGCCAGAAACGGTGCGAGCCCTGAGGGCTTAGGTCACATGTTGGCCTGACTTGAAGTAATGTGACAAACAATTCCAGGTCTGTGTCCAACAGAGTAGAGGGGGTTTTTTAGTGAGTAGTCTGATAATTTTCAGGAGTCTCACACTACAGGCTGGCTACCTGTGTGCGTAAAAGCATTTTCTCTCCTCTCCCTAAAAAAAAAAAAAAAAAAAAAATTAACCCACGAGAGCTACACACAGCTGTCTAAATGCTGGGTTAATACTTTTTTTGAAAAATTATATTTATTGATTGTCGGTATTGTCAGACTTTACTGTACGTTATTTAACTTTTCCTACAGTTACCTAACAATGTACATGTTCTCTCACTGATTTGAGAAAGCAAAGTGGCCAATTCGCTCATCAGTGAGACAATGTTAACATTGTCTCACTCTAATTACTTTGTCTCACTCCAGATTTGCAACGTGAAGGCACGAAACAGTGAGCGCGTAACATGCAGGCAACGTCGTATGCACGCGAAATACGTTGGCAGCACTGGCTGTAAATCAGCTGGTCAGCTGTTGTACTGTTGTATTTGTCACTTCACATTAAATGTTATATTAAAAGTTCACTTCTGTGTAAAAATAGGTTATTTCAATTTAGTGTACTTCACCAATTTATTTGTTTTATGGTAACTGTAGGAAAAGTATAATGTGCAACTCGAGTGCAAAGTACAATTGCCTCACTCGAGAAACCATTCCTCACTCGCCTACGCCTCGTGAGTAAGGATTTCTCTCGAGTGAGTCAATTGCTCACTTTTCTCACTAGTTGCACAAATAACTATAGCACACCACATTCTAGGAACACTGTGACATACTTTTTGCCATCCTTCACCTCCTCATTTCAGTCTAGCGACAGCTGTTTGTCATGTAATGTTGATTCAATCCTGTACGTCTCCTCGTGTTTTTGAATTACTGATCAATAATACAGTGTGCCTTGTAAATTACTTCTAATTTTTCTTTTAATTGTTGATTGGCTACACTATTAATTAATTAGTATTGCCATTAAATCATGTGCTGGGCCACGGAGAAGTATTATGTACCTCTCAGTGGCTAGACGTGGAATCTAAGTAAAGTATAGGATTGATATTCCATTGAGTGTTGAGAGATTAACGTTTAGTGAGGCTTGTAGAATATTTTCTAAGGCACTTTTTCAATGAACCATTAATGAAAGAGGCAAAATTTTTATGTTGAAGATTATTTTTTAAACTTAAAAGGAATTTTATCTTTACAAGACACCGAATAATGATTTATAACTGAGCTTTTTTAATGAACTATGTTTTTTATAGTTTACTACACAGTTTGTTTCATTTGCATTCGTCATTTATAGATACATAAAAAGAGGCATTATTGAGTTATATAAAAAACTGTTTACAAAAAAAAACATTACAACTGTCCATTTTATGTTTTAACATCTTAAGCATATTCAGGAGGTTGTAAATTAAATGTTTTAAGCTGGGTTTTCCTAGACGCGGAGTCGGCCAGCCGAGAGAGGAACGCGGAGAGCGGAATTGAAATTAACATGGCATTCCGCTCCGCTGCTAGGAAAACAGTAACATTAAATTACCTATGACAAGCTGAGTCCGCTCTCCGCGTTCCTCTCTCCGCTGGCCGACTACGCGCCTAGGAAAACCCGGCTTTACGCCATTTTTACGACGTTGTTTTAGGTGCTAAGTGCCTAATTTAATCTTGGGTTCTCTTAAGGTTGGGCATTGTGATTATCTTTCAAGACAACTGTCAATCTCAAAGGTCTTTTATTTTGATTTGTCAATGGCAATGTCAATTTTATACTGTCACAAAGAGAATTGCTAAGGGAAGTACACTAGTTAAAAAAAGAAGAAAATACTGTAATACTTCCTCTAATGCAAAATAATACATATTGAATAAGAGAGCTATACCACTGTTTTCCTTATTTATTGCAATATGTTGTTAGATAAATATTAAATCCATTGTACGGTGTTTTAAGGGAAAGCCATGCGACTAATTAAAAGTTTGTTGAAGGTTTAGAGATTAGCACATCAATCCACACTAGTAAAACTCTGAGACTAGAACTAGAATGACGTATCAGTGTTTTGCTATGTGACTGTTCTTTTGGTATCTATAAGCTCCTAGACTCTAATATTCTCAGGCAAGCAATCTATCCTCTAGTATCTGAACTCTATCCTTTTCCCCCAAAATATATATACAGGGTGAGTTTCTACTGACCGTGTTAACTTCGCCAGTGGGTTCTACTAACTAAAAGGAACAAAAAAGTTCCTATAAACCCATGTCCGATTTTCAACCGTTTGGCTGTAATAGGGGATTTTGTGTTTTTCTTATTTTATTAGACTTTGCTCCACAATTTATGTAATAAAAACTTAATCAATTACTTTAGAGAGTTGTAGTTAAAATCATTGGAAAGAACATTAAATTTGCTATAAATCAAAGGTTTCATTCAACAATTATACCATTACATAGTCCACGTTATATCCAAAATAAAGTAAAAATGTCATTAAATTAATTAATTACGATAACTTTCATGAGCCTCCTTTGATACATAAACCTGCATTTATGCAATGTTGAAATGCATAAAAAACTTGGCATTTTAATAATCTTTCAAATGATATGCTATTCAATGCTATTATTGATATGAACCAGTGAGAAATTACTAATAAACTACAATAAAACACGGTTTACAGATTTTGTTTTTGCACAGTTTTACTGTTAATAACAATTACTGTATTCATCATGTTGGCATAATCTTGATTGGTAAAAGGCTCCATATTTTAATAAATGTTGAAAAACTCTTAATTGACTTGGAAATATAAAGTTAAAACAGCAAATTACTCAACAAGGTATGTTCAAGCAGCTGAGTTATCTAGCTATAGATGACAAATCAATAAAAGCTGACTTAATCAAGCACAAGGTAAAACTAATTACACAGCATTTAAGAATCAAACACACTACATCTTTGAAAATGTGAAAAACCTTGAGTTTATACATTTTATTAATTCAGATAATTTTAATAAATATTTAAAAGTTAAAATAATGTACAAATTTTATCAGATAGTTCAATAAAATACATCATGGAGTATACTGTAATTATTATTAACAGTAAAACTGTGCAAAAACAAAATCTGTAAACCGTGTTTTACTGTAGTTTATTAGTAATTTCTCACTGGTTTATATCAATAATAGTATTGAATAGCATATCATTTGAAAGATTATTAAAATGCCAAGTTTTTTATGCATTTCAACATTGCATAAATGCAGATTTATGTATCAAAGGAGGCCCATGACAATTATCGTAATTAATTAATTTAATGACATTTTTACTTTATTTTGGTTATAATGTGGACTATGTAATGGTATAATTGTTGAATGAAACCTTTGATTTATAGCAAATTTAATGTTCTTTCCAATGATTTTAACTATAACTCTCTAAAGTAATTGGTTAAGTTTTTATTACATAAATTGTGGAGCAAAGTCTAATAAAATAAGAAAAACACAAAATCCCCCAAAACAGCCAAACGGTCGGAAATCGGACATGGGTTTATAGGAACTTTTTTGTTCCTTTTAGTGAGTAGAACCCACTGGCGAAGTTAACACGGTCAGTAGAAACTCACCCTGTATTTATATTATAAAAATCTATCTTAAAACAGAGAGAAAAAGGGTTTAAAAATGTGCAAAAACTTTTCAAAACATTATATATTTTAACCTTGGTACACAACTCTACTGATTGTCCAAAGAGGTAATCAATTATTTTGTAAAGCTTTATTCAATTCCAATCAAATACATGGTGTATACCCTGATTATAATTATTCTAATACATGACATAGCAACATACTTAGGTGAACTGAACTTACGTCATTCAAACACTTAGTTTCACAAGTATATTTATTTATACCTTGCCTTATTTGCTCAATCACTGGTTGTTCTTGGATTCGCTCAATCTCTGGATTAACAAAATAACATTGAGGTTCAAAAGATCTACAAAGCAAATCAACAATTAGAAGAGAATTTTGAATACAGTATATAAAACCGAATCAAAAGTAGGCCTAAGCCTAACACAAAACAAGAATCACACAACACAATTACAAAGATAATAAAATTAAAAAATGTAAACAATGCGTATAAGATCCATGAAATATGCACTAAAATACTGGGTCAACTAATTATTTTAGTTGGTTTTACTCCCACCCTTATGATAGGGGTGATTCAAATTACTTAAAATCCCTATTGGTGTTGGTTTTACTACCTTAAATTGATGATCTATGTAATTTATTTTTAAATGTCATGAGTTCCAAGCTCAAAGCTGTGACTATTGGAGAATATTGATGTACGTGAGATTCACCACTTTCAGATAATGTTTTGAGCATATTTTATAAACAATTACATAATAAACTTATTTTTATCACTGCCACAGGCATTTAGAATTGACACGATGAAATTGAAATTATGACGTGATTTGAAATTGAAATTGGGTATGATTGGTTCAGAAAATTTGAATCATCTCATAGATAAGTTAGGTACTGTTCTATCAATACCCCCTATTATACTAATAATTATTGGTATTTAAACACACTCGTCCTGTTTATGAAAAAAAATAAAATAAAAAAATGATTCAAGAACATCAAGTTGTTAATAATCTAAAAACAAGGAGGTTAAAAACTTGAAAATAGCTATTTGTGTAATTAAGAGCGCAATGTACGTCATTGCCGCTTGAGAACTGTAGATGGCCACACAAAGCTTTAGCTTTAGCCAAAAACTTTGAGAACGGCAAGGACTGTTTGTGCTCGTCTCGTAATACACACAAGATTTTTCCTACCACCATAGTTAACTTATAATAACACACAGATTTACTTTTTAGATGTATATAAAATGCCATATAGGTTATGTTTGCTTTTTTAAGGTTATATTATTTGCTTTTATTTACTTATGGTTGTTAACTAATGTACCGGATATGCGACTGTGGTTGGTGTAGAAACGCTAACTTTGAAATCAGCTGATTAGCGAGCGGGAATGTTCCATTCCTACTCTAGAGCGGCAATGAGCTATTTTGAATACTGTTTACAGGTATGGCAATGTGATCATTTTCATGCAGTGGTAGGAAACAAATATTACGCGTATCTATAATAACTTTAAATTCCACGATATTTCCAAGATTCAATTTTTTTATGTGGGTATTTGATGATATAGATACAACGAGAAGATAGTTCGATTGGAATACCAATATTAAATAAGGTTCAAATACCTGCTTTTAGGCAATCTAATGTTGTTGTAAACACAACTAGTTTCGGTGCTGTGTGGCACCATCATCAGGCTGTACAAGGACGGTTTTCTTTCTTCATACGAATATTGATTACACGAAAATAATAAATAGACATTTAAACACGACACAAACACGAATACGAGACATTTGTGGTAACTAATCAGTTAAGAAACAGACGACGCTAACCCGGCGGAGTTTGAGTCCTGACTCAAAACCAGTTTTGTTTACAACATTGCCACATTGTTACAACATTTGCCTAGTAGCAGGTATTTGAACCTTTTTTAATATTATTTGGCAATCAGGAGGCTAACACCTACAATGGAACACCAATGTCCTGACGAATAATAATAATGACTTAACAACTAAAGTCAGCAATTTGCGGTTCAAACTGACGGAATTGTAAAATGTATATATACTATCTATTTTAATATGGCCCCAATATGACATTACTATCATAACAATATTAGTAAAATTAATACATGCAATGTAACATTCAATAAACTACTTTACTGTTACTAATAAGTAATTCTTGAACTATTAAACAATATACAACAGCAATAACAGAGCCAACTTTTGTTTCGATAAAAACCTCAGAATAAAAAAATATTTTTGGAATAAACATTACAAAATTATGAAGATCAACCTGTGAATTTATTACTGCAATAAAAATCTGTTATATATTTCTGGCAATATGTTTACTACTCTATAATACGTCCTTCAAAAATGGCTTTACAAAAATAGTACCACTAGTTGTAGTATATTTGCAGTATTTAGATCTTGTTAGTTTTTTTTTATTTGGTTGCACTATGGCAGGACAAGGTAAATATACAGTAACAAGTATCCTGTTTTCTTTTCCCATTGAATCAATTATGTCAGTTATACTCATTACTTTTGACCTTGCACTGCAATACAAGCAAACCTTAAGATCTATAACTGACACAATCATTTGTGAAAATATAGGTGTTAAACATGAGCTACCCCTATAATGGTGAAACTCCTAATTTATAAATATGTTGGCTACCAAATAAAATATAGTCTTTGATTTTACCTTAGTTTGTAAAGGGAATTGGAAAACTCTGGCCTAACAAAACATTACCAAGATACCGAGTTAAATTTAGAAGCTATTAACTGTTTATGTTGAATCAATTGATAGTTTTAATGGTCCATAAACTGCACAACCATTAAACCATAAAATTTAACTATTTCCAAAACTTCTGTACAAACTTTATGGGTTTTATAAAAGTATAAGTAAGTTTCCAATTTCTTTTTATATACATTTTTCACGTATTTTTCCACAATCTGTAGCGTTAAATATTTGTTACTTTTACCATCCTTGCTTGAAATATTTAATAAAAGTATGTAAAATAAACAAGCCATCCCCCAACACATGCTTGATCAAATTGGAAAATATAGTCCCTGTATTATAAAAATCAAATGGTTGTAAACCGGAAACACATTGTTTTACAATATCAAACACTCCCTAAAACACTCCTTTGCAAACCGAAAACAACTTTGATTAAGATCTATATACACTGATTACAACAACATAGAAACATTAATTTTAACTCATGGATATTGAAGTGATAGATAAAACATTGTTTGACAAGAAATTTGTCTAGCATTTGAGGTTTGTTAATTATAGATTATGCTATGATTCGTAAATAAATAACAATACCATTTTGAAAGGTTGTTGCATATTATATTTTGAGGTTAAATTCCCATAAGGTTACAATAGCTATGCAGTCAAATTGTTGTGCCAGCTTTTATCCTCTTTGGATAAATAAATATTGTATTTTGCTGAACATGAAAGTTGTAATATTAATTGAGTAGGCCTAACACTTTGTGTGATAATATGTTTTACTAATCAGAATTCAAGATATTTTGATTTTGATATGTTTTACCTTTGTCACAGTCCCATCCAGATACATTAAGAATATGTATATATATCAAGAGTTACTAATAATTAAAGAATTGAAAGTGGATTTGAAAATTAATCTGATATTTTCTGTAAATGTTATGGGATTAGTTTACTGAACATACAATTCCAAGTAACTAAGACAGAATCACTGTTACATTTAAATAACTGGATTTTGAATATTAAGTTCTACTAAAGTTTTTTTCCAAAAGTAGTCTTTAAGTACTTTTTTTACAGTCCCATTCGCCTTGTTTCCATTACAGATTGGCGTACTGTGTATTTGTCTCTATTTTTTCTCCCTGAGACATAGTGACTAGAGTGGTTGATTTAACTGCTTTTATCAAACAAAAGCCATCTTATTAGTAGAAAGATATAGGGTAAAATACCATTTTAATGTTATCTTAGAGACAAATGTTACAGGAACTTTAGTCTGGAAACCTAAAAACCTACAAGAAAGAATGAGATTGTCTTCTTTTTTTCTAGCAGTAATGGTCAGATATGCTCACAGAAAACAACTGAAATCTTAGCCGAATTACAAACAAATACTTGCAAGCTTGTACTTGTTTTATAGTTCATACACATATAAAATCTTATCTGTCATTACATGTTTAAAATTCATGAAGTAAGAAGATACAAAACTAACTTCAAATTCCACAAAAAAGGGAATAGTAAAACGTGAACGAGGTAGTAGAATCATGCTTCTTTGTGAAGAGGCCAAAATATTCTTGTAGTGGCAAAATATCAAACTAATTGTGTGTGCTGTACACTACCTAGAACTATTTTCTTTGAGTTAGTTGTGTATCCATTTCTTCTTCTATAATGTACTCCTAAGAAAAAGGCTTTTTGCTTTAAAAATAGCCATATATGTTAAAAATGGTGATCTGCAAGTTACAATATGTTATTGCATCTAAAAGTAAAACCACAACAAAATATTTACCATTTGTTCACTATAAAAGACTGCTAACTTAGGAGGGGCTCCTGTCTGGGGAGCCTGGCCGCCGCTAACATCGACAAACACTTTGTTCAGGAGGAGTGACTCCGCCTCGAGAAGTGCTACCAACTGTCACACTGTCTGCCGGTCGTCCCAAGTACCTGCAACCATACAGATCAATTGATTCAAACTGTTACCAATATGCTAGATAGACTTATCTCTAAATCACTCAATTATCAGTAATAGAGAATACTCTGAGGGTGATTTAAATTTGGTGTGAAATACAAAAATGTGTGATACAAAAATGAAATAAAAACAGGATGACAAATTTCATGTTTTTTATTTATTTTATTTATTTAACATCATCACATTACATCAATTCTCTTGACAGGTGATTTGTCACAAAGTCTAATAAGTTACTACATTTTAAATAATAAAATAGCTTACAAAAGAAATAAAGCAAATAATAAGCTACAAACCTATGGGAGAAGTAATATCTTTCAAATATACTCATCTTCCAGATATTCTTCTAACGAGTAAAATGCCCTCTCCAAAAGGAAATTTTTTAAAGATAGTTTAAATTTAGAGAATAAGGCAATGTTTTTAATCTCAGCGGGTAATTTGTTGTAAATTTTTGGCCCCATTTTGAGGGGATAAATGAAAGATTTTAAGCCTATGTTGAACTGGTTTTATAATATTTTTGAATCTTGTGTTATGTGGATGAGATTGTTGACAGTCCATGAATGTGCTGAAATCACTTTTAACCATTAATGCCAATTTGTAAATATCAGAGCTAAAAAAGGTTAAAATTTTAAACTGAATAAATAAATCTTTACAATGTGTTCTACAGGGGACTCTGGCCATTAATCTTACAGCTCTTTTTATTTTTTTGGCCTGGCTTGATGAGCCCCATACAGTAATACCATAATTCATAATCGATGAAAAATATGTGTGATATACTACTATTTGTGTTTCTAGATTAGTAGTATCCCGAATTATTGTGAGAACAAATATTGCTGAGCGTAGTCTTTTTGATAGGTTTTTAATGTGTTTTTTCCAATTTAGTTGTGAATAGATTTCTTCTTCTTCTTCTTCTTCTTTTTATCCCCTCTGTAAGACAATTTACAATTCAGTACATAAACTGTCTAAACTGATAACTATTTTTGAAGGTTGGTAAATAAGTCTCTAAATAGTTGCCTGAATGTAATAACACATAAAGGAGAACATGAAGAAAATTGTACAGTATTTACAAATAAACTCAATGTAATATCTTTTTCAACAGCTTTTAATTATTTTTTACTTTTTAATAAACAGTTTTTCCACCATCCTGTACTTTAAAGCCATATTAATCCATTGATGCCGTGTCATGAGTGCATGAGTGTAGCTCGTCGCCGCTTTTCGCGCTGTAACAACACAATGGTGCTTAAGTTGTTTGTGAAATCCAACCTTCGAGCAGTAGTGTCAACATGAACTTAAATCTCTTCAGCTCAAGGTGTCTCTCCAGCTCAAGGTAGCATGGTAGTTCAGTTGGTTAAGGCATTGCATTAACGAGAGTAGCGCTGAGATATTTTTACATATTCAAGTTAGAACTCCGTACATGCAAACCATAGTAAGCTTTCAAATGTGTGATGTGTGGCTAAGCCAGGGGGGGAGTACCTAAAATAAGTGGTGTCTAGCTAGGTAGGAATTTAACAACATTAGTGAGTTTAATAGTTATTGCACACAAAATTTGTTTTGCATAAGACATGGGACCGGTTTCCTTTTTTGTTTTGATGTCCCTAGAGGCCAAAAACACTATAGATTCAACACTATACTATAGATTATATATATAGGGCTACTATTTTAATATTTGAACACATAATTTATGATTACTAAGTACCAGTACCCTTTTAAAATACATTTTATTCCACTCACAATTAAAGGATGTGAAATCAAATGAATTCAAAAAGGGTATGTAATGAGACACATTTTAATGACAAAACAAGCTTATGTTGGTATCACTGTTTTCTTTAGTTCATTGCCAATCAGCTGATATGAATTATTGCATAGTTATCTATGAGGTTTAGTGTAATTGGGAATTTATTTATTATTTATTGACATCGTGTCTTACAACATTTTCGTGTCCAAGGCTTGTCTTGTCACACTTGAAACCAACCTGTGTTATCAAATCAGAGCTTAGACACTGCTTGCGATATATGTTCGAGACATTATGTCTGTATCGGACATGTGTTGCACGAAACCAGTTGGTCGGTGTTTGGTACGACATGTCTTACAAGACACCTGCAACGCGCATACGCCTGACGCATCCCACTCTCCCCACCAGCAGTCTGCGATAACACCGGCAACAGAGCAACGTGTCTTTTGATGGTGTTTTGGTTTGTGAATTGTTATTTTGTTTTGTAATTTATTTTAAACAAAGTTTTTTTAAGTAATATGTTCCATTTTAAAACAATTTTTGAACTTATCTGGATGATCGTTTAGTTGTTGAATGGTAACTAAACTGACTTGAACCCTCAACATTGGCACTTCCGTAGGGGTGGATTCAACATCCACGGGGTATGTGAAACTTACGTCGACGACGTCTTCGTCTCACAACTGCAAGTAATAACATCACTTCATCCTCCTTTGATGGCATTTTGCACTTGACTGACCGAGCATCCGGCAATCACGGTCATGCGACATAAAACAAGAGACATTCTAAAGACATTAATGCCTCATTCAATTTCATTACGACACAAATCGATGCCACCAGTGTGTTACCCGCTTAAGGAAACCGGATCCGTAGTAAACAAAAAAAAACGTAGAACTACAATAAATACTCTATTTGAGCTTGTATTGTTTTAACTTGGGTTGTGTTTGAAAACAAAAACAAAAACCCTGTATTATATATTTTACCAGACCGCTTTGTTAAATAATTTTAAGTGTAAGAAGATTAGTTTTATTGAATTGGCCAAGGTAGAATACTCGTCAGACCTACAGAGTCGATCTAAAAGTTAGGCAAAATTAAAAAACCCCTTTAAAGAAGGCGAGGATGAGATAGCTCCACCTGGGGGTCTGCAGGATTTCCTGAGCGCTTTTAGAGCTCTGAACCTTCGATTAAATTAAAATAATTAATCATTCAAAACCGTGATATAGCTTTGTATCGACCCCTGAATTTTATTGGCTTCTTCTGAGCACTCCGGGGAAGAAATTTGAGTGTGGCTAGTTCTAGGGGTAGGCCTAGCCTGTTTGCGAATACAATTTTATTACCTCCTCATAATTTTCTTCAAACAATATTGTTTTTATTCCATACTAAGCTATTAACATTTCAGTAAATAACACACTTTACTAACTTCCTTGTAGCAGCAAACCAATCTACTCATTAAATCTAATGATATTTAGATTGTGATTGTATATTTATACATAATCTAAGAAATTATTTTGAGTAAAAATCCAATCAGACTAATTAAAATTCACTTAGTCTGCAGGTTTGCTGCGGGGGGGGGGGGGGTATTTTGCTTTCATTTTGGTTAAATATGTACACGTTGTGTTGAAATGTAATAAATGATATAAACTAAATAATCTAAAAAAGATAAATTAATACAAAAATAAAAACAAATGATCTAGTGTCAATGGGTTAAGCCTACCGTGTCATGGCCTCATCTACCCCTCGTTCCATACGACACATAACCATCTCCAGAAGATTGTCCACAGCTCGGTTTACATTCAATCCAGACTCTGCACTCGTCTCCATGTACTCCAACCTGTAAAAAATTACTACACTTAGTATCGAATATAAATCGTAAAGAATCGCACGTGTAAAATCACTGGTACACTTTGAGGAATTGAACTGTTTTAAAAATATAAAAAATATATTTCATAAAAACAAATTGATAATGAAGTAAGCATTCACAACCAAAACATTATAATGAATTAGGACTACTCATACTGTCTTGCTATGAACTTGATGAGTTTCAGCACAGAATAAAGAGTTAACCCAGAACTCTCACTGAGCAAAAAAACCCATTGCGTTTGAATCTGCTACTGTCTATACCAGAATCTAGAGTCTCTACTGACGGTGTGATTAAAAAAATATATACATTTAACTTTTATATATGATCAGTTGATAGATAGCATCAGTGCAGTGAAGTCAGTTCTATTCTCCTGCCCCATTGACTGTCCTTAAGAGAATCAAGAGCTTTATTGTCATTGACCTTTTACAAGGCACAGACATAGTCAACAATAGAAATAAAAACTAAAGCTATAAAAAACAGTGGCTTTTAAATTAAAAATTAATATTAACATCAGAAACTAAATACTCTGTTATACAGTAATATGGATTTTGGATGAGCCACTCAAACATTTTAGACTTAAACCTATTAAAAGGAACCTGTTTTATTTATTTATTTATCGTTTCAACGGCTGACGCCAGTACATAGGTGATTAGATTGAGATTGTTTTGCTTGATAGATTGAAGGTGGTTTTGCTGCCAGACCTAATTGATTAAAAAACCGTATGCAATTTATTTTATGGCAGTTATCTGTTTTGGCCAATCTATGGGCAGGGATATCTAGATTGGATTTGCCTCTTGTATTGTAAGAGTATATACTCTCTCTACAAGTGAATTGATGAAGATTGGCTTTAGTGTAGAGGAGTATGTGAAAAATATACAAATTTACTACGGTCATAATTTTAAGGTTTATAAAAAGAAGTCGACAGCTATCCACAGGGTCAGTCCCACAGATTGTTCATATGACTTTTTTTGTAATAAAAGAATTTCATGGGTGTGGGGGGAGTGTCCCCATAGTATAATCCCAAAAGAAATATGAAATTGAAAAAAAAAACCAAAATAAGTAATCCGAAGGTATTCATTACTAACAAAATCTCTGAGTTTCCAAATTAGATAGTTTACTCTGGAAATTTTTTTACAAGTGATTTCTATGTGCTCTTGCCAATTTAATTTACCCGCCGCCAGCAGTAATCCTAGATGCTGTGTAGACATTAGCAGATTCAAATACTTTTTTGGCTCAGTGAAAGTTCTAGGCTAGGTATTTATTCTGTGGTTTCAGCCACTTTCATAGCTTTAGCACTTAAGAGAGTGTTTGACAAAATTAACTTCACTGCAACGGGGTTATCTTTAGGCTGAACCACTTAAATACTCACAAACATAAGCACTGTAAATTTCTACAAATAGCATCAACAATTTTTTTAACATAAAGGTATACCAAATACAAAATGTAAAAAAACAACTCATACAAGCTCGTTGCAGTACACAGAAAAACGGCATAATCCTTGAAATCACTGGCTTTCAGATAGAGGCATAGCAGTAATCAACCTTGAATTATCAAGTGTCTTTTAAGTGCTTAGGGCTAAATAGGTTGTCATTGAAAAACAATTTAGACACATTTCGACCAACATACTGGTCGGTAAAATAAGCTCAATGAGATTTTTAAACCTCTTCAAAGGTATAATAAAATAGGATTTAATCAAATTACAGAAGAGTACAATTTTTTCACCATGACTTCTGCTTACTCACCCGTATCGTGCAGCCAACTCTTTAGCTCGTTCCTCAGGAATGACTCTCTTATCCACCAAATCTGCTTTGTTGCCACAAAGTATGACATCTGGTTTTTCACAATATGCATGGATCTAAAAAAAACATTTACAATTATTTTATTTTATTAGTTTGCAGTACAAGATAGCTGAAAGTTATAATGGAAAAATACAATGCTTCCATTATCGTAAAATAAAACTTGCTATTAAAACAAAGTTAATACGAATGATTATTTTTAAGGTATGTTTTAGTATAGTACCGGTAATTTAATCAATTACAAGTTCTTATCTCTATTTGGTTGTTGCCTTTGTTACATGCCTTATGAGAGTACAATTCTAACACAGCTGTCATAATATAGCCTAGTTTAATTAATACTAAAAAGTCAAATGATGTTAGGACAGCTATAACAAATGAATCAGATATTTAACCCTCGGGTGGTCGCACCTGATCATATTGATACAAAGATTTTCTTTATTGCCGCCATTTTATAGCGAGCGGTCCAACAACCACCCCCTCCCTAATCATGGTCTCTACCCCTGTAACTGGTTTCATCAGGTAAACACTTGCTGCTCCCAAGGTCATTGTATCACTTTGATACAGTGCGACCCTGTCCATTTTACAAGTCTTTTATTTAAAAATTTAAATAGTTTTACCATTGTAACTAAACTATTAATAAGTATTTTCCAGACTATTTTCATGCATCTAATGCTTTTTAACTACAATATATGAATAGTTCAAATGTATCTATGTTTTTTTTTTCTTATTTTACAAAGTTTGTATCACTTTGATACAGTGCGGCCCTGTCCGATTTTATTAACATTCCATTCACTGTATTCATTCAATTTTTTGTCATACAACGCTGGTCTCTTTTCTATCTTGGAAATTATTAACTCAGAATCTATCACTGTGGCAATGATTCCATCACTTGACTCGTCAGACATTTTTAGGCGCGAATTGAATGGCACAGGTCAGAACTGCGACCAAACTATCAGCAGTGGAGGCATGTTCATAACTGACCGTGTGGTATATTTCAGAAGTCCGATAGTCGTGTCACAGCAAAAATAGGATCACTTGCAACTTTTATGTCGCAGACATTTTTCAGTCTACTGTAGATTCACTCTAAATTGGAAACAATGGTTTTCAAATCTACGACTAAATAATCGTCCAACTAAAAATCGCATGTGGAGGCCGTGCCTAGCGGCTGTGGAACTCAACCTCCACAATAGTTAAATGTCCTGCCAAGAAGGCAAACATGTGAAGTCAAGCCATTGTACAACCCAGAACAATATGGTCACGCATGCGCAGCGACCACATCTTTCATTATCATTATGGTAATGTGTAAACAAATAGGAATATCCAAAAGTGAAATTCATTATTAACGTTTCTAATTGGTGATATTGAAACTTGTTAGTTTTTATCTGTTCAACATTTATTCAATGAAACTAGACAATTAGCGTAATTGTGTGATTGAAATGTCCAATATGTGCACATATATATATATATATAACTTATTCTAATGATAAATTATAAAATTCAATGCAAGACAATGAAGGATTCCGGTACGGTGTGGCTGAATCACAAACAGCAAATAATGTAAAATGACAGAGTTAATTTAAAGTTTTCAAGATTAATTTTAACGTTCTAGCTCAAATTTGTATACACTTTTTGGGGTGTCGTGCCAGAAGCGACCGTGCCAGAAGCGACCCGTGCCGCTAGCGACCCACCAATTTTCTACCGTGCCGCTAGCGACCCAAGAATTTGGAGTGGGATGCGAGTATGAATTAACGCCGATTCAACTTATATTCTTAACAAAAACTAAACAGAATTTCACTATAAAACCATTAAAACGATTTGCTGTCACATTAAATACATAACAAAGTACTCCTGCGCAGCAGTCCTGCAGACTAAATTTATTCCCATTTGGGGAAGAAATAATAGTTTTTTATGTAAATTGTATCGTATAATTCATACGAGTATACATTTACCAACACATATCCATAAATAAAATAAGCAAACTATAACAGTTTGTAGACTCCAGGTGCATTTATTGTAATAGGCCTATTTATTTTTTATTCGTTCGTGTATGTGTGTGTGAAAGGTTATGGACATTAGTAAACAATGATAAGTATTTTTTTCCAACTGCAATGTTTTGACAATGGTGGATACAAGCCGAAACATGTAAACAACCTACTATTTGAGCTGTTTGTCGGATTATAAGGTATGTAAACCTATTTATCACATTAAATATTACAGCTCAGGAGCTAGAATGGAAATGAATTATAACCAAATTACTTAAATTACAAATTACATATATTTTTTACGAATGGTGTTTTTGCTCTCTCGGGGCATCAAAACGAAAAATAAAATAGGTCCCGGGTCTAGGTCTTTCAATGAGACCTACGGTAACAGCTTATTCCCTAAATGGAAAAGAGTATTCTAGCACAACTAAATAAAGAAAATTTTGAGGTTTCTAGTCATAGTATGGCAGCTTACAACCCCTGATGTTGTTGACCTGCTATCACGAAAAATGACTAAGACTCTACTTAACTCAAAAATAATAATATGAGGCAAGAAAAGGGTAGGAATTTATTGTAGAAAAACTCTATATATTTATAATGACGAAGCTATCTATACAGCTGATGATTTAGATAAAAAAACTCCCAAAAAATTAAAACGCTTATAAAAATTGTGGCTTTTGTTATGCCTATAATCCCGGTTATGTCACAAATATTGTTTCTTTTGCACCTGCTAGTATGTTGTGGTAAATGTACGATTTGTATATTTGTAAATATTTTTTTTAATTTAATGATTTAAACTACAAAGTCTATTTTTATTGTTTTTATATTTTTGCACCGTTAGATAAAATGTGTAGGTCAATAACTCCATTGCATTGTTATTAATTATCTGTCATAGGCTATATCACCAAACAGTTTATTGCTCTTAATTCATCTTTATACAAATCTTGTTTTTTTTTTAATTCCAACTGTTATTGTTACACAAAAAAAAAACTTTGTAGCCAGACTGTTGATTTTTTATTAAGAAAGTCCCTATTTGATTGGCTGTGTTTTCTGAACTGAAATATGTATTTCCTGAAGATCAATTTCAGTATTTCATTTCAGTTTCGAAATATGTTTTGGAAATACAATTACTTCTATTATGCAGTAAATTTGGGGGAAGGGAAGGAATCATTTATAAAAATCGGAGGGCCATTTTAAACGTAATGAAATAAATTAAAATAGTCAAATGAAAACAAGCTGTTGTAATTAGGCCTACGCTTTACAACAGGCAGGACGTTGAAGAAATAATCCAACTATCTATTTCAAATCCTAATCCAAACATAATATGTTAACAATAATTGTTAACACGTCAACTTCATTAAACTCCAAGAAGCCACTATCTCCAAACAGGCTAGTAGCAAAAATCCAAAGTTTGACGATTTGAATGGTTTCTGCTTTTTGAATTTTGAAAATGAACAAGCAATTGACATAAAACCACATTAGGACAGGACGACGTCTGTCGGGCCAGCTGGTGTTTTATAAATATCTATTTTTTTTTTCAATTTAGAATATTTATTTACTGATAGAGGAAATTTCTCACGCACGGACAGTAGCCTATATGAGGGAGATTTCATATTTAATTACTATGTCAGTATATTATTACATAACTATGGCATAATTATAAAATATGTACTGACAAAGTATTGTAACATAGTATTTTACTTACTGAAATAAACATTATTTTGATTATATTTGATAAACTACCTCCATGTGAAGTTTTATTTAGATCTTTTGAGTGGTTCCCGTGCGATTAAGTAGTAGACCTATACAAACACACATCCACCATCTCATATTTACATATTTATTTAATAAATTGAAAAATAAAGAAAAGATAAGTTAATTGATTATATTTGGCTTTTATAAAATGATAAAAATTCAAGAAAAATTGTTTGATTAAGTTACCACACATAACTCGAGTCTATGCTAGCAGATGGTAACTAGAGATGCTAAAACAGCTCTTTAGGCGAATATTGGGCTCTTCCAGGTGGTACATATTACTATAACAAGAATAGGATTTGTTTATAAGCCATTAACACCGATTTGAACAAAACATTGTAAAACCCTTTATCAAACAATGGGTCGCTAGTGGCACTCACGCTACTACCAGGGTCGCTTCTGGCACGATTTTTGCTGGGTCGCTTCTGGCACGGTCGCTTCCGGCACGTAATCCTTTTTGGGGGACTTACCCCCTCTTTTGTAGGGACGCATTCCATACCATCCCCAACCCTCCCAAAAGGTCTGGCACCCCCATTTCCAACACCATGGACAATTTGGACAAGCCTATGGCAACTATTCACAGAAATATTCACAACTAAATTAAAGACTTAAGTATCCTAAAAAATACCTTGAGAAGTTCTAGCCAATTACGGACTTCCAAGAATGACTGTTCATTAGTCAGATCAAAGAGCAGTAAAAAGCCCATTGCATCCTTGTAGTAGGCAGTGGTAATGCTACGGAATCTACAATAGAGAGGTTAGTGAACATGCACTACAACTAAAGAGGGTGTTAGAAAACTAGCTAAGCTTACAACATTCAGCTGGCATCTAAACAGCTACAAGGTAAACCAAGCAATCATAACCTAAAAGCTATATTATATTTCATTAAATCTCAAAGATTGCAATCGGCTTATAAATCTCAGCCCTGGACACGGGCCAGATCTACAAATGTTCCTGTGGGCCCGCCAAAATTGCTGCCTGTCCCAACAGATTTAAATCATTCATAGCCAAATGTAACTACAATTTTCTCTATTTGCAATATGTTTTACCCCTTGCAAAAATTGGTACTGTAATACTATTTTTCCATGATCCATGTATTTTTTACTGAGTTGTTTAAGTTAGAAACAGCATTTTTTTATACAACAATGTTTCATAAACGTTATTGAAATAAAATATAAAATTGTAGTTTGGATTGAATTAGAAAAGATTAACTATTTTATTTAAGTAAAATATATTAAAAGCAGTTAATTTTTATTCATGTTTCAGAATTATTAAATTCCTTTTCCTGTGATTCGTCCTTAAAGTTAAGTTGCATTAATTGGCCAAGAAAGACAACTTATTTAGATATCAATGTAAACAGTGACTATTTTACCACTTAAAACCCTAGTTGGTGAACAAATTCTTTCTTTTTCTTGACCTTGTGGGTTTGTATTCAAGTTCTAGATCTAGGAATTTGCCATCATATGCACGATCACAGAGATATCATCATAGCCATCCTCCATATAACAGCTAAGTCGGGAACATCTCTTGCAACGGCGGAGACATCACCATTATCTTACACGATTGTGGCGTAATCAAGAATTTTATGATGTGAAATGTTCACAGACCCCTGGTTTCCAGGCATTTTTTACAAAATTGCCGCCCCTTAAAATTTGCCGATATGGGCCCAGGCCCTGCTGACCCCATGCTAAGTCCAGCCCTGGTCCTACAATCCAGGGCTTCACTTATTGTTGTTTGTTAATTTTGTTTAGTCATAGATAAAAAATAGTCCCTTAGTAGATTTCCCATCCTTATGGAACAGCTGAAGCCAATTTTATTATTAGTTCTGTCCGGTTTTCTGTAGATGTCGTGTTTTGTTTACAATTTGTTTCTTGTTATTTCAGTAATTTAAAACCTCGTTTAACCAAATAAAACTATATAATCATAAACATTAACTCGTCCACTAGCTTTATAACCAAACAGTGAGACACAAATAATGAGAAGCTAACCATAAAATAATAGAAACAAATTGTAAACAAAACACAACATCTACAGAAAACCGGACAGAACTAACAATAAAATTGGCTTCAGCTGTCCCATAAGGATGGGAAATCTAATAAGGAACTATAATTTATCTATGGTTTAGTATTATGCTTTTTAATAATTTTTCCCCTAGGATGCTAGTCACGAGAATGGGATTGTTTTTCACATTACTTTAGGCTAGACCTAGGGGTTGTGGCATTATCACTTCGATAAAATCCACTGGTGATTTGGCGGGATTTGAGCCCAGGACCTCAAGGACAAAAACCCCGCTCTCTACCACTAGACCAGCTTGCTTCCTCTTTTAGCAAATTTCCTCTATAGGGAATAAGCTATTACCGTAGTACTCTTGGTAAGACCTGGACCCGGGACCGATTTACTTTTTTGTTTTGAGGTCCCTAGAGACCAAAAACACTATCCGTTCAAATTCATACATATATATATATATTTATATATGTGTCCGTTAGCACGATAAGTCGAGCAAAAATCATCCGATTTTGATGAAATTTGGTACAAACGTGTAAACCTACGTTTATTCTAACGAGTTCACAACCAGCATGATCGGAATATGGGAACAGGATTTTATGGGGGGCTTTATGGGGTAAAAATTGGTTTTTCCAATTTTTGACCCTAAAAACTTAAAATTTAGCAATTTATTTCCAAACTATTTTGTAGAGGTATATTGAAGCGTTATCATGCGCCTTATGGTTACGGAAAAAATTTCCAAAAATCTGTAAATTTAAAATTCCCATTTTATTCTTATGAAGAATAAGTAAATTGTTGTAGTTTGGTTGTTTATAAACATATTTTGAAAAACAATTTCGGGCTCGTGCCTAGTGTCCTAGGATCAAAAAAAAAAAAAAAAAAAAAAAAAAAAAATAGCTAGGTACTTATAAAATAAAAAAATTCTATATTATATTATTTCTTATTAATTAAACTACTTATTTATCTTAATATTTAATAATACTTAATTTACTTAAAAAATCTTACTAATTAAACTTATAAATTTCGCTATTATATAACAATTATTAAAATAGGCCTATTATATTGTATTGCAAATTTTTAAGTATATAGCAAACTTCTTGAACATAATGTCTTCAACTACGACAGAAGCACAACTACTAGCAGCCATGATGTGCAAATATTGTACAACTACGTTTAGTTTGGATATTTTGTACTAAACTGCTATCATTATTCAAAATTAGCTGGTATTTAATTTCTTAAATAGAAAATGTTTATAAACAACAAATACTTTTGATACCATACCTATTATACGAATGACTCTTACCGTTCCTGGCCTGCTGTATCCCACAACTGAAGATTCACAATTTGACTCCTTCCTTGAGTTTTATATACCTACAACAGATGATATCAATTTAGATCACAATCATACTCATTCCGTGTCATAACACATTGGATCAATCACAATTTTTTTATTTGGTTTCAAGAATGGAGATAAATACAATATTTTAACTTTATTTAGACTACATCACCTAAGGAGTGACACATCATTTCAAAATGGAAACAGGATTTTTCTAAATGGTCCATTTACTCTTTACCACAATGAAATCTCGCTACTGGATGCAAACCTCTGATGTGATAAGATGCTAGTAAAATAAAATGTACATAGGGCCAGCAGTCAACACAGCAATCAGCCCTTTCCAACTAAACATTGTTCATTCAATGTCAATACTCCACAGTGAAGGCCAGATGACACCGAAGTTGTGATATGGGGTAAATACCCAGTGGATAGAGTATTTATAAATCAGTTTCCACCCCAGGCCAGGTAAATACCCAAAAAGTGTGAATTTATGATTTTTGATACTTGACCGTTGATTTTGACAGATTATCTTGAGGACCAATAATAAAAAATAAATATACTTATTTATACTTGCCTTTAAAATACTAAATTATATGCTAACTTAATTACATGTGAAACATTTTTGTAGAAAGTGAATTTACTTAAATTATAATAATGAAGGTGTTTTGTAAAAAGTCGAATAAAAGCAAAAAATCTTGGCAACACTTAATAATCCTTATTCAGAAATAATTTCTTTAATGTAGGCCTACTAGGTATCTGAACAAAAGATTTACTAAAACATTTATCGTCTTCTAGACTACAATTTACATATGAACCTTTAGTTTAAAATATAGATGTACCAATAGCACCAATAAATATTTTTTATTAAAAATAAGCATACTCAACAATCCCTTCTCCCTAGAACATAATAAGGATAAAGTTTTCATACTTTGCTATATGAGTTTGGACAATAAGTATCAAAATTTAGTAGTAGGCTACTTGCACATATGATCTGTATTATGTATCCTAGTTCTCTAATGATTTTATAAAAAAATATATATATAGGATTCATGATACACACTTTCCAATTTAATTTTAAATGAAAATACAGTACTAAATTACAACTCCTGTTTGGTGTGTAGCTGAATAATCATAAAAACCCGGGTGTTTATGAAAAACAGGTATTTACCTGCTTAAATACCCAGGATGTGTACCCGCAGTATAAAATACACAGGTATTTTACATCTAAGTAGTATAGCCGAGGATCAGATAATAGAAACTACTGTATCTTATTTATAAATACAGTAGGCCTATGGAGGACACTAAAAATATTTCACAGCAGGAAGCGAAATATAAATATGACAACAATCCTGCTTTATTCACCAGCAGAAGAACTTTGATTGCCTCGCATATCACATAACTGAGTTACCGGTAATGTACTTACGAGACTTGATTTATCATTCCTAAACTATACAATACAGTAAGTTAGGCCTACACTTTTGAACTTACCACCCTCTTGAGTCGAAAATCTATTCCTACTGTTGAAACAAATTTTGAAGCGAAATTTCCATCAGTGTAGCGGATTAGAAAACTTGTTTTCCCAACACCAGAGTCACCCAGGAACAGAAACTTAATTAAGTAATCGTATCCAGTGGACATTCTTGAATTCTGAAACAGACCAAGTTGCTCAAAAATATCAATTTCAATCAAAACATTGGTCAAATAAGTATTTGACTAAGTTTTTAAGTTCTATGAGAATATATCAGTGGTGTTAAACAGATTTTACCGGGCCCACCTACAAACTAATTTTTTGAGTAATTTTTGGACCAATGATAACCGATACAATGATCAAACATTTTCATCATAAATAGAGTGGTAAATAAAATTATGGGTAATGTTAATGGGTAAAACAATAATTTTTCTAACCAAGACTATCACTGAATAGGCCTAGCGTAACAACGCTTAAACTATAACAAACAATTATTCACGACATTAATGTTATTCACCGGTACTTGTTTAATTCAATTATTGATTGATAAATAGTAGGGTTCTGCTCGCCGTTTACCTCGGCTCCCGGGCCCTTCTGTTACACCACTGATATGAAATAATGAAATAATGACTTTATTCCCCAAATACAAGTTTTTTTAAATTACAAAACAAATTCACCTTGGAACTATGTTGTCACAGTCTCCAGTATTTGTGACAACATGAAAGAAAAAACACAGTTATTTACAAGTAATAAAAAATTGTATGAGTCCAGTCCTTGTTGAAAGAAGTGATTAATAACCATGCCGCTCTCCGTGGCGCCGTTTGACACTTATATTAACTTATACATATACAGTAAATATAAATAAAACTTCTCTATTGTTATAACAAAAAATCAAATAATTACCTTATAATATTGAGAACTTTGTTCGTTAAACCAAATACATTCATTACCAATTATGAATAACACAAACAAAAATATGCAAGAAAAAAAAACAGATGGAATTGAAATAAAATTGAAAAGGCCATATAAAAATATTTTGTTAACTAAGAACCTGATTTAAAAAATCAATGACTGGAGTTTTGAAAAGCCAATATTTCAATTTTAAAGAAAACAAATTTAAGGATAAACAACTTCTGATTTCTCCCGGTAATTGATTGAAATATTTAGGTCCTTTGTACTGATAAGAATGTCTGAAGAGCGATTTGTTTACTTTAGGTAATCTGAACATTCCTTGGTTAAGATTTCTAGTATTGTACAAAAGGTTACTTGTTCCTGTATTTCCACTTCGAACATAAAAAAGCCGTAAAACCTTGTAAATATATAAATGTTGAATCGGAAGTATTTTAAGTTCAAAAAATAACGGAAAGGAACTTTCTCTTATTTGGCATTTTGAAATTAATCTAATAAAATGATTTTGTGTCACTCTTAATTTATCAATATGACATTTATAGGTACCCCCCCAACACTGGATGGCGTACTGTAATCTTGAATCAATTAAAGCAAAGTAAAGGGTTCGCAATAAAAATCTACTACAAATATTTTTTAAAAAATAAAAGGTTCTTATGGAGAATTTAATTTTTGAATGCAGGTTTGTCACATGTTTATCCCAATTTAAATTTTCGTCTAAAATGACCCCAAGATAGCGAAAATTGTTAACCTTTTCAATTTTTTTACATTTACAAGAATTAAAGGAACAGCCAAAAGTGTGGAAAACGAGATCATTTATAAAGTTAAAACTATGTACTAAATTAAAATTAATGTATTTGGTTTTTTCAACATTGACTTGCATTTTGTTTGCTGCACACCAGTTACTAAGCAAAATTAAGTCATCTTTAATTTTGTTGAAAGTTAAATCACTATTCTTTTCGGAATAAAAGAGGGCGACGTCATCGGCAAATGCACAGATTTGTCCATGAAAAGGAAGTGTGAGCAGATCGTTGATGAAGATAAGGAAAAGGGTATCAGATGTCACCGATCCCTGGGGGACTCCTGTCTTTACATGTAGCGGCGAGCTTAATCGGTTTAGGATCTTGGTTTGTTGTTTTCTATTGGACAAAAAACTGCTGAACCAACTCAGCGCGGTTCCTTTTACGCCTGCTGCATTGAGTTTAGATAACAAAATATTATGGTCTACTAAGTCAAAAGCTTTTTTGAAATCAATGAATAAGCCTGTAGATTTATTTTTGCTGTTGAAACTGCTATAAATTTTTTTTCTGTTACGGTAATTAATTAATGCGTCCTCGGTTGATTTTCCCTTTCTGAATCCAAATATATACAAGTACCGAATCAATCTAATAATGGAGATGCCACTTTTGACTATGAAAAGAACTAACTTATAACTTCCATTCTTATGTTGTAGCCATATTTAGAATGAAGAGTTACGTAGTTGAGTTGAGCCATCAATAGAGTGCACTGGAGTGATTTCTGTCAAATAACTTATGTCAACCAAGAACTGAAAGGCCAACTTACTGGGAACAATATAATCTATTGTGTTACACCACACAGCACACAATCACAGTAACAAAAACCAAGGGAAAATTTTACTTTTAGACTGTTGCACATTACAATTTAAAATATTAAAGTTTTAAGGGTACTTCACCGAACGGCGGTTTACGAAAAAACTCTTAACTACTGTATAGTTAAAGATATTTTAATTATTAAAAAACCAAAATAAAGCTAATTTTCTGTTGTTTGAGACTAAGAATTGTTAATTCAATGAAAGGAATCATAAGGTTTTTATTTTCTTTCAAATTTCTAATAAAGCTGGGATTTCCGTTTTCCCTTGCAGAGGTTCACAAAAAGGTTTATAACTCCTGAACCGTTTGAGATATTTTGATAGATAAAAATCAAATGAACGCTAATTTTTCCCTCTACAATCCACTTGTCCCAACATAAAGTAATATGCAGTGGAAAGCTACAATAAGGGGGGGGGGGTTGTAAACTTACCCCAGATCAAGGGGGAAGTGTACACCCCTAACATCACCTACAACTCATATTTTTACAAAATAAAAAAAACATATATAGGACATTCCAAATCTACAGATCCTACAAAACATTCCATAGAATAAGCTCAGAAAATTTTATTTGTATAGCACCTACATGCGTTTTTTAATCTGTGGTCAAAGTTGTACTATGTGATTTGAGGCGCACACTTGCCCCACTTGACCTTGTATTGTTTTAGTTATTGTTACATGATAAGGACTTTTGTCATGTATTAGATTTTAAACATGTCAATATCCATGTATATTACCATCTACGGTATATTATTGTAAAATGGTGTAACCGTTGAGAGAGAAATAAATAAATAATATTATAATATAACCGCATACTTGAATGAAAGGTCTTGACGTGAAACTTCCCCGAGAAATATCAGTTTTCCGATAAACCCTCTTAGAAGGGCAGAAACCTCAGTCAAAGGGATGTATTTAATCACGTTTAAAATATTGTAGATACATCAGCGCTGTTTGATTTGATTTTATTTTAGTTTGTTTGTTTACTTTTCTTTGAGTTAACCTTTTGCTCCTACCATCTATATTTCTATATCCCCATTGCAGCAAACCTGCAGACGAGCGAAATTTCCATTTGCCTGATTTGATTTTCACTTAGCCTAAATCTATTCAAATAACATTAGGTTTAACAAGTACTTACCTAGGTTAGCTGAGAAGGGTAATAAAGTGTGATTTTAGTCAAGTATTAATAGCTTAGTATTAAAATAAATAATTAGGTTTGATCAAAATATATCCGTTCATAAGCAAATGTATTACAGTTTACTTATTGAATAAAGTAGTTTTGAATTGAATTTAATCCTCCATAAAAATTGGATGGAAATTTTAAATTTACAATTTTTTTTTTAATTCTCTGCAACCAATAAGTAACCGTACAAAAACACTTCTAGGCCCTAAATATACTAAATTATTTGGTTTTTTAACCCTTTCAATTATTCTAGAATGTATTGTTGTAATTTTCCAAAAAATGCTAGAGTTATTTAAGTTTATTTTGGGGTTATTTTGTCTGAAAAGTCTAGACTTGCCACGGAGGAAAGTCTAGTGTGGTAAAAAATTGGTAAAAATAAAATTGTTCATCTCAAAAGTGCTAAGGAACGATATAACTATTGGGCCTTGATCGTATGAGGAATCGATAGAAACCATCGCCGTTTCGAAACAACAACTGAGTCAACTGATATGCCCATTTAAACTCACACGGTCGACAGTCGCGCCGGCTCGAAATATCGTCTCATGGTACTGTTCGGATGAAATGTGAACAACGATGCTATTCTTGCTATTGAAATGCTATTGTTCCATAGCACTCTTTGGACAAAAGATTTTGCACAACGATATATTGTTACATTGGCATAGCACTGAAAGTGTTAGGTTCTTCAAAATGGTTTAGAGAGAAATTTGGAAATTGTATACTTTGAGGGTAAAAATAAGAAAACCCCATTTTTACCCCATAAACCCCATAAAATGGTTGAAATTCAATTAATTTTGTAGTTATGTATTTAATACTATTACTGTACCCTCCCTCATAGAGGGAGGTTTGAGACATATTGAATGAATGCTTTTTCAAAATAAAGAACTGCATTTATTCATTCATAGGTAACAGAACTTGTAGTACAATAAAGGAAGGTCTACTAAGTTTGATTACTTTTCAAAAACATTTGATTTTTTATGAAAAACAAATCTGACCCTATAGCCTTGCTTTGTTATTTCAGTAAACGGTAAAATACCAAGTACATTCCCAACATTAATGAATGACACATCTTCTTCTCTTGCAATAAACCCTTTTTTAGTGGTGTCTACAGCTTTTAAGGCCATCACACTCAGCTCAGCCTCTTCCACTGGTTTAGTACACTTCAGAACCATGCCTCCCTCAAGCACATGGTGAACCTTTCAGAGGGCGCACCTGGAGGTTACTTCCAGGTCAATAAAAACAAACATTTATGAAGTAAAATTTGTATTTTAGTGCACAAATTAAGTATTATTTTTAATTTTAAAAATCAAAAATGTGTTGAGTGAACTCTTAATTATAAAATAACTTAATTAGATTTTATAAAAATAAAATTAAACTAACATACTATTCTATCAAATGTTCTAACATAAAAGTATATGAAGAAATCTTTTACAAGAATATATTCAAGAAGTTAATTTCAATTTTCACCACAATGTCCTATAATGCGGTTCTAGATAATAGCACTCACAATAACTGATGTTTTAAGTAATTTAACATAATGGGTATCTTAATACTAAATGACTCTGTACATACGTCGATCGCGAATCTTTCTTTCAGCACTGGCTAAGAGTGTTGCAATTCAAAATTTAACTTCTTCACTCATCGTTTAAAAACTATATATTTACTAAATAATGTCATGAATTGTAAAAATTTATTATTTACACGCAATAATCAACGCACACACTAAACTAGAGGTCGCACACGGAAGTTGCCTCCAGGCTGTACGAGAATCGGCAGGGCGCACACGGAAGCTACTTCCAGCCTCTTACAAAACTGAACAAAACTAACAAATATAAAAATAGTAGGGGTGAGTTTTGACCTTCATTCGATTCTAGGAATGAGGTGCGTGAGGTACAGTGACACTCACACTGCCGACACCACTCAAAATAATATAATCGTGAAAAATAAAACATCCCTGGAGGTTACCTCCGTGATGCGACCTCTGGAAAGTTAAACAAATAAGATTACTGAAACATAACCTCAAAAGTTAGCTTCATTTATATGCAATCAAAATCTTCCTTAATCATTGCAGTATACAACAAAAATATTGCACTTACGTTAAGTTTTATTTTGGTAGATTTTCATCCAATAAATTGCATCAAAATACTAAATTTCACCAAAAATTCATTTAACTTTTATAAAAACTGAAGTGTCAGTGGTAAGTTAGCTCTGCTAAACTTCACTTCACCACAGACACAGACACATCATTAGTTCACATTTACAAGGAGAAAGGAATGGAGGGAAATATACTGTAGAAAAAAGAGAGCAGAGATACCAACTTAAATAGGTTAAAAATGAATGTCCCATCCCTCCCTCTGTCCCAACCCTCCCCACTCTCCCCTAGGGTCAGTCAGTTCTATCCCAAAATTATGATTCTCAGGTAAGGATAATAGGAAGTTTCAATTACTATCCATCATCTTTGATAAAACTAACTGGGTTTTCATCCGTAAAGGCTTGATAAAGAGTGTCTCACCTTACTTAAAAGGCCCATTATAAAGGGATCTTCTGGTGTTCCATATTTCAAATACCCTTAGCCATCTCAGCATATCACTAGAAAGTAATGTCGGTCAGCTAAAAATTTAATAAATAAAATATGCAAAGCAGTTAAATACTTATAAATCCCACCTTATCTGTATCATCTGTGTAAATTTTGGAAATATTAAAAGACTAGGTATTTTAATGGTGTTATGCCTAAAAAATTCAATACCGTATCAGGCTTGAATGGCCCTGATCAACTTACCATTTAAGTATCGTACACCGATAAAATTCAACAGAAGATGTAGTAGTAGCGATGTCTATAATAAGTTGTTCTGTTCTTGTAATGATAGCCTTGTTACTATATCATCACATCACATTATTATCAATACAATAATTCACTGACATTTACATAACCTAAAACTTTTGGTTTTTTTTAAGGATGGAAGCGAAAGTGAAAGGGGGGTCCAATGACGTTGACGTGTAAAATCTTTGGATCGCATCAGAATATCGTGAATTACTAAAACCATAGGCTGACATTGATTATATATGTATTCTAGTACATATAGTCACTTATACTGGGGTGATATCTGAGAACTCTGTGAAATATGCTATATATCGTATTCCTATTGCCCTCAACTATATTTATATGTTATAGTTTACAAATTTAAGGTTATTTACATTTTATCGAATTTACCCTGAGGGGAAGAAGCTATCACCGTAGGTGATTTTGTAATACCAATTACAAACCCCAATGTATTCAATTTACATTTAAATATCTTAATAGCTATTAGTTCAAATGTCTTAATTCTGGCTCTGTTTTCCTTATAAATCAGCTGAAGGCAAGATAAGCTCTGTCCGATTTAACATTTTTGTTTGTCATTAGATTATGATTATTTAATCAACTTTTAAACTAATTTTACTGATTACTTAGAGAGAGATATCTTTATTTACAAATCGTTAAGATTGAAAATTGCGTCAATTATATTACAGTATTACAGAAACTTCTTTCGGGAGTGTCTTTCAGAATAATTTATCTACAGAGCCACGGCCACCTTTAACTGCAGGCCGCGGCCTGGTAGAATTGGCAACGTCACAAGTAGTGGTGTTGTTCAGTGACAGACGTCCCATAAGATTACATGACAGACAGGTGGCATAAGCTCATTAATTCGCACTTTATTGATTAAAATTAAAATTTATGAACCATACACTTTACGTGATGACAGTAAAAAGTTACTTAATTATTATATAATGTCTGTTAAAAAGTTTCAGTTTTTATTATAACAGCTGTGGCCTTTTTTAGCAAAGAAAACAACACAACTCACACTGAAGTTCACTGACTCCTGTGGAGAACAACACGCGACTGGCCGATTTTTTAGTCGACCGTGTGCGCGGACTGATAACAACCTGTACGTTACAGATTTCCGGGCGACAATCGCCTCGCCTACGAATCTGTGGTAAAACCCAGATTTTAAAATCGGCGCAATTCTCGATCGCCTATGTGCGCGCTTCCATTCAAATACATGATGCACAGATCAGCCGATGAAATAGTCGCCTCAAAATAATCGCTCGTGTGCGCCTAGCCCTACAACACCACTTGCGACGTTGCCACTTCGAGGGCCGTGACCTGGGGCCCTATTTTTGAAATGGTTGACTGTTGAGTTGAGTGTCGAGTCATTCTATTTCCAATCGTTTCGTATTTTTGAAACGATTGACGGTCGACTTATCCAACCAAAACTACTCACCACCTACTGAGCTGTTGAGTAGACGGTTGACTGCACTTTCTTCTTCCTCTTTCGGTAAAAAATTGTTCTTTTTGAGTCGACGCCATATTGTTATTGCTTTAATTTATTATTATTAATTGCGATTTAGAGGTTATGTATTTGTTGTCAATGTATTAGCACCCAATACTTTATGCGATTGTTTTCTGTAGAATAATTGCATTTTAATTTTATTATTACTGTGTCAATACTAGACTAGGCATACTAATTATTGAACTTATTACAAGATAATTATTGTTATTAGACCTATGATTTAAGGTATTAAAGATTGTGGTAGAGAGAAACAATATCATAGTTTGTTTCAATACCATTCACGATTCACCTAATAAAGGGATCAAATTAATTTAAGTTGCGATATGCTTTCAGTGCAATGGCAAATAGCAGCTTTAACCTAAATAAAAACGCAATTAAAAATAACATCAAACAAACCGATGAAGGAAACTAAAATAAGGTGATGTGTTTCGAAATAGAGACGAAGAAAGCAAATAATAATGTATTTAGGATATGCCTAAACTTATAATTAGCTACACCCTAAAACAAACATCCATAGTAAATTTTATTTTTAATACTTAAGTTTATTTTATAAGTTAAGGTACTTTTGCAGTCACTAAGATTGAAGATTAAGCAAGACATAACCTCAATCTCTCAAGAACGGAGTTGACAGTTTACCTCAGTGTCTCGAAATATGGTAGATTGAGATTAGCTGCCAGATTTTAGAGTAAGAAGAGGTTAAATCGAAGATCGCAAGAACTCTGCATTGTGATTGGTTGAAAATGACGTCATCTGAATTTCGTGCGGTCGTATGCTCTACATTTCCACCACGAGTCACTCAACTAGTGATTCCCAACTCGCTTCCCAACTGTTGGGTTTCAAAAATACCAAATCTTGTTGTTGGTTGAGTTGAGTGCTGACGATCGACTCAACTGTCAACCATTTCAAAAATAGGGCCCCTGGAGTTAAAGGCGGCCGTGACAGAGCTCGCCCACGGCCGCCTTTAACTACAGGCCGCGGCCTGGTAGAATTGGCAACGTCACAAGTGGTGTTGTTTAGTGACAGACGTCCCATAAGATAACATGGCAGACAGGTGACATCAGCTCATTAATTCGCACTTTATTGATTTAAATTTAAATTTATGAACATAAATTTATTAAAATATTGAAAATAAAACATACAGAATTGAAAACCGAAAAGATATGAATTAAAATCTATATCTGTACATTTTTAAGTGGAGTCAATATTGTCATAGTCCAGTAACCAATCTTTCGTAAATACACAAATACCATTGGTTGCTTCCAAACAAAAACAGCTGTTAGTTACAACACCACTTGCGACGTTGCCAGTTCGAAGGCCGCGGCCTGGAATTAAAGGCGGCCGTGGCTCGCCAGTCCAAGAACTCTCCAACGCCGTAGCACGATGGTGGAGCAGCTAATCCCGGAGTACTGTCTTCAGCTTCTCAGGACTGGAACTCTTGATTTCAGCTGGCAGATGGTTGAAAAATTTGGCTCCGATGTAAGAAGGCCTACCCTCATATCTTCTACTGTGGTGTGTAGGTAGATTAAAATTACAGGCATGCCGGTTAAAGTGCTGGTGAACATTATCATTCCATGGTGATCTTGATTTGCAGGCCATTGTGACAACTTCAAGTATGTAAGTATTTATTAGTGTTAATATCTTTAGGTCTACAAAAGCTTGTCTGCAACTCGCCCTCCATTCTAAGTCCACCATAACACGAACAGGCTCTTTCTGCAGAACTAACACACGTTGCAGGTTTTTCCCAGCAGTGGCGCCCCAAAGAGCTATTCCATATTTAATGAGGCTGTCCAGTGTCCAGTAAAGCAAAATAGGCGGTTTTTACTGCATCATATGTGCGAATGGCTTAAATAGGTCTTAAAGCATTATATACTGCTGCTTAATTTCTGACAGAGGCTGTCAATGTGCTCGTCCCATCTGAGATTGGAGTCTAAATATTATTCCAAGGTATTTAACGGATTCAACAGATGAAATGTTTGGAAGTTCTGATATAGGGAGATAATAAAACAGTATCGTCAGCATACATTATTGCTCTTCCGAAGTTCTCTGTATGTGCAGGAAGGTCAAGCGTGAACAGTGTGAAGAGAACAGGTCCCAAAACTTAGCCCTGTGGCACACCTCTACAGATGGGGAGGAAAGACGATCTGGTGTAGGATAGCTTTCCATTGGTCTTTTGTCTAACTTCAACAAGCTGCTCACGTCCTCTCAGATAGCTTGCGAACCAAGATGATGTCCCATCCTGAAATCCTAGTCTTTCCATTTTTTTAAGAATGAGATCATGGCTGAGGCAATCGAAATCGAAGGCTTTGCTTGGATCAAGAAATATTCCAACAATGCTTTCACCACTCTCAAGCCAATCAAGATTATCCTCTACCAGGTCCACAAGGGGCCATCAAAGTTGATTTTTTCTTTCGGAAGCCGTGTTGATTTTCTAGGTCGATGCTGTTCCTTGCTAGGTAGTCTTCGATTCGGGCGAGTATAACTTTCTCAATAATCTTTGAGAAGGTAGATACCAAGGAAATAGGGCGGAAGTTCCCAAGCTCGTCTTTATTTCCCTTTTTATGTAGTGGTGTCACCTTAGTGGTCTTCAGTTTACTGGGGAAGCATCTACTGGCAAGGCTCAGGTTGACAACATGGAGTAAAGGTTTCATTAGCTCGGACAAGGAATGCTTCACCATCTTGGATGAATATCCATCTAGCCCCGAAGAGTTCTTGCTTTTCATTGTGCCTACACCCTTTCGCAGTCGTGGGTAATAGATCTGTTAATGCGTGTGTAATATCTGGCAAATTTGTCTTTATGGTACTTGATCTCCTGTCCTGGCTGTTGTTCAATGTTTCATCTGCTATTGATGTAAAGTATGAGTTGAACGCATTGTCAAGCTCTGAAGGATCCTCTACACTCTGTGGTCTTGAAGCGTCAAGTATTTAATTTCCGTGTTATCTTCTAGCTTAGACCTTCTTTCACTATTTATGACCCTCCAAACTGCCTTTTATTTGCAGTTAGACTGATTAATATAGTTTGCTGTAGTCTCTCGTCTCAGGTCTCTTAGAAATAAGTCATAGTCCTTCTTGAAGTGGTTGGCAATCCTCCTATCCTCTTCTCTCCCTGTCTTAATGTAGGTTTCCTGAGCCTGAAGGAAGGTGTCTTTCAGTTTGGCCGCTTGTTCATTAAAAAGGTGCTTGATGGGATTGCGTCGGTTTGCTCTTGACAGTTTGAGTGGACATGAAGCGTTGAGAGTCATGGTAATGATGACCAGGAAGTGGTCAAATGCCACCTCAACAAGGTCACTTTGCATAAAGTCTTGCCAGTCCTGAGCTGCAAGTAGTGTCCTCAAACAGTCCAAGTTATTTGGGTTTATGACTCTACCAACAGTTGAATATGGCTTTATATTGTCGATACTGCGGCCCAGTTCACATATTTGGCCACTGTGGCCCGAAATACCAGTGTGTATAACCCCGACATTAACATCCAAGCAGTCTACATTGAAATCTCCCATGATTACTATTGATATATTAGGAGAGATCCACTGGTCCAAAATGTTTGAAAGTGTTTGAAGAGCTAAGGAAGTAGAATAACTTCCCTGTGACGAGTTTTTTTTTTTAGGGAGAGGAGGGAAAAATGGATGGAGGGAAAATTACGCACAAAGGTAGCCAGCCTGTAGTGTGAGACTCCTGAATATATCAGACTACTCACTAAAAAACCCCCTCTACTCTGTTGGACACAGACCTGGAATTGTTTGTCACATTACTTAAATTTTTTATGTGACGAGAATAAAGATTGCATAATAATCAATGATCAATGTTATAAAACGTTAAATTTGTTACCTTAGTGAAATTAAACGATAACAACATATAACATATTATTAATAACATTATACATTAATGTTATTACTTGTTCAATACAATTATTTATTTATTGATAATACATTAGTATATAAGAATGAACTCCAATTTTTCGACCCCACTCGTCTCATGGGCCTCTCTGCTCGCCGTTTCCCGCTCAACGGTTTGCGGGTCCCCTCAGCTCCCGGGCCCCCCCGCATTGCGGGCCCTTCTGTTACACCACTGTTTGAGCAAACATTTTTGCAATATAAAATACTGCAATTACAAACATAATCCTTTATTGCTATAATTACTATCACAGGGACATCATCATCCATCACGTCACTTGTGATTGTGGTAAAATTGCTTGTGCTTGTCAGTTGGAACAAATTCCTTCCCAAGAAAATGTCAAACTAAAATATGTAATGTCTCCCAAAGATCGGGAATATATTTTCCCAATAATTTCTGGACCTGTCCATCCTTAAGTACTTACGGTAATTATTATTTTGTTAAATTGCAGTTTTGTTTCATTTGTTCTTAATTATTGTTAAATATGTAGATATATAACTACTAGATTAAGAAATTTGATTCTATTTTTATTTCTTGTGCTAGGTTAAGTGTAAGAAAGGGCCATGTGGCTCTAACATGCCTGGTAAAATAAACAATTTTTTTATTATTTAACACCTCACAAGACAAAAATATTTTGCATACTACTTGGCAATTCAAAAGTTATCATGTATTGATGGATGATAAATGATAACTTTCGCATTGCCAAGTAGTATGCAAAATATTTTTGTCTTTTGAGGTGGTACTCCAGTAAGATGTTGAAAACACTGGTGTCCAGTATTGTTTGTTTCGGTCCCACTCCACATGGTTTTAGAACACCAAACTGAAAGTTTTCAAATTCGAGTATATACCATTACCAAGGTCCTCTAGTCGAGGATCCCATTATCAAAGGACAATCCTTGGTTTTGAGCCAGTCTAAAGAGTGTCTAAATTGCTTATCTCCCTGCCACCTTTATTTAAACAACATTTTTACAAAAATTTCCTCGGTAGTTCTAGCAAAACCGCATGAGCCATGTCAGAAGGGTTACATTCCTTCCGTTCATATATTTTATAAATTTGTTGACATCAGCATTTTTCTCAAATTACATAGATTAAATACTATTATGATGTTCACATGCTTAGTTAGAAAAATGAAAACAAAGGTATTGATAAAACTAAACTATGTATCATCACTTTATTACATTTTTCACAAGAGATAACATTACAACAAAAAACCAAATTAAGGAACTTAAAATAGATATTTTATCTAAGTAGCCACGGCGATACAGATCAAGTTATTTCATAACTTATAAATCTAATATATGGTTAAAACAACTAAAAAACCAGTTAAAATTCATTAAATGAAATTTTGATAAAAAATACTGCTTTTAAAATACCCTAATAATGGAATTATAAATCCAATCTATGGTTAAAACAACTAAAAATAAAACAGATAAAAATTCATTTAATGACATTATTTTATACGCAAATACTGCTTAACTAAAATGTGAAATACCCTAATAATGTGCATATAAACTTCATTTACAGGGTGTCCAGCACCCAATAAAATACAATTTAAGGCCAATCCCAGGTTTTTGAGATTAAAATTAAAGATATAGATTAAAAAATGATTTATAAAACATGATACTAACATGATAAAAACTCTTTATAAAAAATGATTCTTGCTTATTTTTACTAACTAGTAAATTAAAAATGGCTCAAAGGTGCTAAATTAATTGAATTAACCCATTAGCATTTTCCACATTTTTGGAAGCAGATTCCTGGTTTTCCCGCTTTCCAGGTCGCATGGTCACCTTGAAATTAATTCTGGCTTCCAGACAGTTTCTGGCTTTCAAGATAGTTTAAACAATAATTTCCAAAGTAAAAAAACAATAACAATAATGTGGAATGAAACATTATTTTACCAGTGTTGTGAGATGTTTGTAATCACACAAACGAGAACATTCTTTGAGAACAAACTACCACTAAATATATTATGAAAACATATTAAAACCTTATTATAAAAAACAATTTTGAACTACAAGTACAGATAGCAAAATAAGTGGTGTACTTATAACCATGGATTAAATAGTCCCAAAGTCATGAATGTTGCAACTGAGACTTGGACTGTGTGTTGGGAATGGTCTGTGGTCAATGTTTAGTGAGTTGCGCACTGGACTCTTGAAGGTCCGTGACCACCTTCGTCTTCGTCACAAGCGTTGCGGTAATCCCGACGTCTGTTCTCCGAGTCAGGATCCATCTCTACCAACATACACTCCTCTGCGTTGTCCGGGATCATCTGTTCTGGTCTGGGAAAACAAAATGGCAACTCTTAGACTGACTAATCATGCTTGTGCTGCTGCTTTAATTTGGTTTTCTTGGAACAAGTTGCTTTGCAATAAAGAAAACCCTCGAGGTATCAAGCATAACAGATTGAAGTGACTCTATAGTAATGAAATGTTTTTAGTAAAAAGCATTTAGCTTGGATTAAATAAATATATAGGATGGAGAGGACACAGCTAACTCACCTGATGAAAGGTTGCAGATGAGTCACAGAACACATAAAAACACACACATAATAATACTTGATATTTCGCCTCTTTCAGAGGCTTCTTCAGAAGTAGGCCTAGATATCAGTTACAAAAACTACAGTTTAAAATATGATGTCACAGTTTGAATTCAAAATGTCTGACAATTTGTCCAACTGACACAACACAAAGCACTAAATACAGGCACATTGCAATATTCTATTTACATATAATATGTATATTGAAAAACAAAAAAGAGGCGAAATATCAAGTATTATTATGTGTGTGTTTTTATGTGTTCTTTGACTTGTCTGCAACCTTTCATCAGGTGAGTTAGCTGTGTCCTCTCCATCCTTTATATTTATATATTAAGGAAATGTCAAGGGTGCAAGAGGTCAGTGTTTAAGGGACTTAAAATTGTGACAGACATAAAGAGTGATGAGTTAGTTGTTGGTTTTATCGATAAAAGTGACAAGTTTGCTTTTTGTTTTGACGACAGTCAATTTTCGGTTGTACACTAGTGCAGTAGAAATAACTGAAAATATAGCTTAAGGTGGAACTAATTGCAACAGAAATTATTCTTGATGTGAATGGTAGGTAGTATGCTTCTTATCAACATACTAAAAGTATACATCCGTACTGTGGCGCAAAATACGTTTTTTTGGCCGCCATCTTGAAAAAAATTTCAAAATTTTAATATTCTTAAAAATAACTTTTTGGGTATCAAATTATAGGAAATTTAATGCTGAAAAATGTTATAATAGTTGTTATAAGCACTATTTAGAAATACGATCGTAGTACAAAATACCCCTGCCGCAGCAAAGCTGCAGACTAAACGAATTTCCATTTGTCTTTATTGATTTTCAAATAAATCTAGTAATTCAGTTGTAAAAATCTTTGTACAACTAAATCTAGAGTTCTACTAGACCGATTTTATTGCCTAATGGATCGTTGGAAAGCTTAATTCGTGTAAATTTTCAAATAATTATGAAAGTTTGATTTTTTTAAAGATTTGCTAGGTGAAGCCAAGATTTGTTGAGGTTGCAAGCATGATCTTTTGACTATAAATCGATTATAAATAACTCCATTTTGAAACAATATAGGTTGTTTGTGATTTAGCAGTGTGCTTTAGGTAGATCCGATCTTAATAATCAATAATTCCAATAAAAGCTGGTATTTCACTGAAGGTTTTTAGATAAAAAAAACATATAGGATATTTTAACTGCTGGAATACATTTTTAATTGAAGTAAAAAATGGAAAATCCAATTTATACTCGTATTTTTTTCGTAGAGTAATACATTTGATGGATAATGTGATGATGCTTGATGACAAATATGTCCTTGCATAGCTTTGAGACAAAAATTATGAAAATCGGTCCGGTAGAAGAGCCAAACGAACTCGAAAAAAAAAACAAATTTATCTCCTGTAAGTAATGTACAGGGAGGCAGTTTGTGCATGACTCGAAATATACGTCAAAATGAGTGCTGATGCTAGATGGCAAATCTATGGTGCGTCCATACCTTTAGCTTTAAGCCGGATTTACACTATGTAGCAATACCTGCTATATAACTTTTGCTATATAACATTGCCTTATAACTTTTGCTGTATGAACAATTTACGGACAATTTTTGTGATTCTATGGTGCTCGTGCTATATGTTATATGTAGCACAACCTCATTCGCATTCCGTATCGAAATGTGCGTTGAAGAGACATTGTTCGTGACAGCTATATCGCGGGGATCTTGGAAGTCAGAGAGAGAGGCGGAAGCGAAGATTTTAGCAAGTTTTAAGTTCGACCACTTCTTGCTTCGAGATATAAGTACAGTATAGCAGATTTATTACGGGACCTAAAGTATGACCAATACGCTGACAGTCCATGATTAAAACGGGAAATACGGCTTCAAACACGTTTTACGTATAACCACAACGCCGGTTGTCCACAGAACAGTTCAATTAAGTTTATAATTGCATCCCGATCCTACGCACTTTCCGTCACTTTCCGTTTCCAGTCCTTCCATTGTAAACAAAGATCGCTAAGCAAAACCGTCCGCACCCAGGAGGCTACAACCATAGATAAATCATACTCCCTTAGTAAGGGAGTATGATTAGTCTATGTTGCTTAGTCTTGTGTTGCTTAGTCTTAGTCTTGTGTTGATTTGTCTTGTGTTGCTTAGTCTATGCTACAACTGTGAACTGTTGGCACTAAATGATAGCAGATGCTAGGCGAAAAAATATATGTATATCATTGCTAAATGTGGCAATGTTAGATGTAGCTCGTATTTCTTTTGCTATTTACCGACTCCCGATGGATAGAAAAATTTTAGCTCTATAGCAGGATCTGCTACATATAGCAGTGTTATATAACACTTTTGAAAAGTTACTTTTTCTTCTTCTAGCAAATTGTATACAACATTGCTAGATGTTACACAAATCTGCTAAATAGCAGGTTTAGCTACATACAGTAGTGTAGACCAGGCTTAAAATCAAAATTATGAAAACCTGTCTAGAAGAGCTAACACGACTTGGAAAATAAAAACCAATAGTTTTTATAGATGGCAATAATTGATTTACCAGTATGTATAATCTAATCATACGAAACATGAATTAATAATTTAACAGCTTATCGTTATATTGTTATTTAATAGATTTTTCTTTGATTAAATATTGTTGTTAAAAGTTTGCAATTGTGTTTAAAGTGTGTTCCTTATGTTAAGTGTGTGATTCTAATGTTATGTGCTTAATCTGTACCAAATATTAGTGAGTAAAGTGGTGTATGGATTTCATAACCATTATTTTACTAGAGACCGTTGTATTTAACCCACAATGGGCTCTGTTGCTAGTCTATTAAATAAATAGCATTAGGTTTAACGAAACGAGTACCAAGGTTTGCTGCTACAAGGAAACTAATTAAGTGTGTTTTAGTAAAATATTAAATGTTTAGTATAAAATAAATAAATCTGCAAAGTTTTAACAAAATATATCCATAAAGAAGCAAACTACAACATTTTACAATATTCTCCATAAGAATAACATGGGGATTTAAAATTATCAATTTATTTAATTTTCTCCGTTACCAATAACCGTACAAAAACACTTTTATATACTTAACTATTTGTTTTTTAAGCTTTTTTAAAAGGTCTAGAGAGAAATTGGAAAATTTCATGTTTTAAGGGTCAAAAATGAAAAAGAAAAAAAATTTTAAAGTATAAAATAACTTTTAAATAAAAAAAACGTTTAAATGGCACGTTTTTAAACGCACCTTTTTTACCAATAGTGCATCACTGTTAACAGTATATTTTAAATTCAACCATTATATTATTTTCCAGCATAAAATTTTCTATAAATTGATACCAAACCAGATTTTTTAACAGTAATTTAAAATTTAACACTTTTTTTTAAATGGTGGCCAAAAAACCGTATTTTGCGTAACAGTACAAATGTATATTTTTAGTATGTTTTTTAAAAGTGTATTACCTACCATTTCTAACTGGAATAATTTCTGTTGCAATTAGTTCCACCTCAAACCCTATTTCTACTGCACTACACTGTTTGAAATAAATGAAATTAACAACTAACTTCTAGGTAAACTGAGTTTGATTATTACGTTACCCTATGCTGCACAAATGATCTCTTAGGAAAATTTTAAATCTACCTTAATAGAATGACATATTATGAATCTATTTTACTGACTCAAAACTGTTTGATCAATATGCTTTTAACTTCAAATCGAGAACATACAGTTTAATGTATAGCATGTAGAAAAAATTAACTTTTGACTATTTCTGTTATAATGAATCAATGGCAATATACAGATGAGCTAGAGAGACACTGACTACCTTTCAAGTCTATTGTCACAAACACTGTATGTTGTAACTAATACAGAGATAATACAGAAAACCTCGCCAACTCGACAGTCAACAGTTAACAGGGTGCATGCCTAGCTGGCTTTGTCTCAATATTGTGTTCCACTACTCAAGCATTAATTGTCAAATATTCTAAACGTCTTTGAATATTGTTTACTCAATATTTAAAAAACCTCATGTACATAAATTTATATGTAAAAATTATTTGTTTTCATTTATTAAAACCTATTAACACATTTCAATGTTCTGAATAACCTGACAACCTCTGGGTCCACAAATAGACGAGTTAGTAAAGTTTAACTCAGTTAAATAATTGAAAATTTTTAAATTTGTATACAACACACTCACAATTATTCGAGCCACCGCTTATCTAAGGTTGATTTAGGCCTAAAAACATATTTTTTAATTTCTGTCGGAAAACAATAATTATCGGTACATTATTAATGCACTATGTAATAGGAGGGTCAAATATTGTAAAGAGGAAGTGTTTGGCAATGTTGTGTGAGTAGGCTGGTAGTGTTGTTAAACAATAACTTGTTGTGCTGACCTACTGAAGGCTGTTGCTTTAAGTAGGCCAGTGCACTTGATCAAGGGGTCAGTTTTGGTGTGTAGTGTTTGTGTGGTGCACCTGAGGACGGGGTCCTGCTGGGGGAGCTGGAGCCCAAGGCCCTTGGCCTTGGGTCCAGGTAAGAAAATGTTAAGGGTTTTCAAAATTGGGGTTTAGAGTCTTTTCCAAATTGCGGTTTAAGTTCCTAACTCATTTATACAGTTCCAGTCTACTCTACCTTTTTGATTGTTAGTTTAGCTTTGTGTTCTTTGTGTTGTTTTGAGTATTAATAAAGTTGGGTTTTGTAAGCAAGTGCTGAGTTTCATTCCTGAGCTACGTCACCCAAAGTAGCGGTAGGTGTTTCTATGCATTATGTTGTATCAAGTAAAAATAAATATCAACCAATTTATGACTTGTTAAAATTAATACTTAAACTAATTGTTGCATGTTTTATTTTGACATATAAACGATAGCAGAGGCATTTCTGCTCGAGCATTACCCCGTACCGACTTGCATCGCCTATTTCCAGTCTTTGTCATTGCAATGTTTTCATATTGACTTGAAAGTATAGCTCAGGTCAAAATCAAACAAAAAGTAATTGTATACTTTTTAAACTTGAAAGATCCATCTCATTGAGTTTTTTGTAAAATACTCTAGTCTAGCACTCTAACTAGTCTAGCACAATTTTATTAACGCTGTATTTAAAGTTTTTTAAAAAGAGTTGAGCACGTTTGTATTATTGTTTTCTTTCAGAACACCACCTTATTTTTAAAAGTATTTATAAAAAGTTGTTGCATCAAAATCACAATTGATCATTTTTTTGTTACTTATTGTTGAAACATATAATTTAAAAGTGTTTTACTTCCTAATAAGGTACCGTAACCTCAAAATCTAAGCGACGCCCGTGTTATCTAATATTCTCGGTAACCGCGGGAGTGTACAGTAATTGAAATAGATGCAGAGATCCACTGGCACAGTTGATTAAGTAGATATCTCACCTAGGAGGCAGGCAAGTTTCTAGTCTAGGAATGGCGTCAGGTTGTAGGCTAGTTGGGAAGTTGACCAGGAACTGAATGATGAGACGACCCTTTTCAAACGGGTTCTTGTACTGAGGCATACCCTCTCCAAGAACATACTTCACATCTCCATGTTTTGTGATTTCACCTACAATCAGAAAACAATTTTAGGTAAAATAACTTGAATTAGTGTAATATTTAACATGGTTTTTAATGCCTGGCGTTTCCAACGTAGGTACTGTATTGAGGGATTAATTTAAATTCCTGGGTTGTTTAAGGCGGAATTACTTAGTTAATTAATTATTATTTGTTAATTAGGTATTAATTATTAGTTACAATAAGGAGAGGTATTATTTATGCCCTGTAATTTTCATGTGTGGTCTACATTACAACTATCTCGAACAAACCAGCTGAGGCAAGATCAAATCCTCGCTGATCTCTAAACCGAAACTCTTCAAAAAGTTTTGATGGTTTTGACAAATCAATAATTTGTATTGAGAGAATTACGTGTCTTGATTGGGCTTCCTAATCCCAATCGGTAAACTCAGTTGAGCAGCAGAAAACAATACCCTACTAAAGACATAGGCCTGACCCTATAGCATCCTCTTTGCACTCTCCACACCATGAAGGCTCTGTGGATATCATGTGTGAAACTACTAGTCCAAAATAAGAAGACTATAGCAAATGGCAAAGCTGCCCCATAAGACGATGCTACTTCTCTTTTTTTTTTATTAATTGCACCCATGGGTAAATGTTAGTTAAGTTTTTCCCCTTAAATCTATTTATTGACCATCTCAAGCAACCAGATGAAAAATTTATTGAATCAGTAAAACTAAACTACAGTCCTATATAACTGAAACACCAAATTTTAGGCCAGCACTCGCTGGAAATTTTAACAAATTTGCAAAAAAGAATAATAGGATGATAAAACGACCTTGATAAATGTATGATTTAAAAATTGATTGAGAACTCTAATTTGATCATAGGCTTACCTGGTATGGCTGTAATAAGGAGATCTCTATCATCAAGGGTGTGGACTACTTTTTGGAAACCACATAGCGCTTCCACCAGTTCAATCTGCATTCTTAGGATTAGATCATTCCCAGATCGCCTGTGCACACACAGAGTTTAGGGGTTGACTACAATTAGATCACTAGAGTGACAATCATTTGATTTGGAGATCTTCACGTTCTTACATATTTATGAAGAATGTTGTACAATTTTATTATGAAAAACACTTAATGAATGATATTTGAATTCATTTTTGAACGATTGTAAATTTACCCAAGATTCATTTAAATGCAGGCTTGTTTAGCTGATTATCATCTTGGTTAAATTTTTTTACCCAAGCTACAGTATTCTTTAAGATACAGAACAAAATAAATATCCTGTTAAGACGTTGGCTGGGCATGACGAGTAACCTTGTCACCGCTAGCGCTTTCCAGTGGTGCGCGACGAGTATACTCGTCAAAGCGCCGTTTACAAACTATTGTTCCATTGTGAGGATAGCCACTCACATGAGTTGTTGTTTCGCTTACCGTTTATTGTGTCAGTTTTATACTTCAATTTGGTATAATTTGTTTTCAGATCTGACCATTTTATCGGTAGTAGGGACTGTTACAAATTTATTGTAGTGTGAGGTTTAGGCTTAGATTTAATTACATGTTTTAGATTAACGATTATGAATGTACTGTAACATTGTGGAGGGAACCTAACCTCAAAATTGTGCTTGACCCCTATTTTGTGGTATTTTTTTATGGTGTATCCGGGTACATCACTCCTGCTTTTTCCCTCCATTTGGCAATACTGAGGGCCGGCTAGAGGGTTGTGTTTAGTGCTATTATTTATTGGGTTCTTGTAACACTACGTCTACAATGACTGGGACGCTATAATATGCCTCTCCTATTGGATGAAACTAAATTGAAACATTTTCGTGAACTTATCCACGCAACGGCCGGCCATAACACAGCCACAGCAAACATGTTCAGAGATCACTCTATTAATGCATTTAGTAACATTACTTACTAAAATTTGTTTATAGAAAGAATTTCCACTATGACTGCTAGCAAATTTATCACTACAATATGTATTTCACAAATTTATTAGGGAGTATATAACTCGACATAAATTGGTTGATATGAAATGGAAACTTACTTGAACCTAGGGTGGTCTTTTTCATCTAGTACAATGATGATGTCACCAGGTTTGTAGCCTGGTTCTTGGTCCCCTTCTCCTGAGAATGTAATTTTCTGCCCATCTGACATTCCTGGGTCCACATGCACTTCTAGGATCTTGCGATCTCTGACAGTCTGTAAGAACAATAGACATGAAAACAATGCCAAACTGCACTAGTTGTATATTTTGCATGTATACTTCCAGATAAGCTTACTCTCCAAAAAGTCTTCGAACAAGATGACACAGTCTTATAAATTAAAAGAAAAATCAGTCAACGTATTTATAAATTTAAGAATCTGTGGAGCATTCACGATTACCAAAGGTACTCCTACTGTTTAATTCATGTATTTTAAAGCAAGGTCTTTGGCTTGTTATGATTTTTTTAAGGAATAGAATTCAGCTAACATACCTAAAAAAAATTGAGTCCGGGGGCTTATAGATACAAAATAAATGAGCCCAAAACATGACGCTGATATTTTGTCTTAATATAGGACTTTTTCAGAGAGTAGGTCGAAGAGAAATGTTTTCTCATTGTTTATATTTAGTCCTGATCTCTCTCAGGTAAACCAGCTAAACTCTACTACCGTTTCCTTAGTACTGTATACATGTATATATATATATTTATATATATACATGTTCACGTAGAATGGAACATTCACAACACTACCAGTAATAAAACAACTGATGTACAAGTATGACATGCAAAACTTTATTTCACTTCGAGTCTCAAGAAAGAAAGAATTTGGAATCCTGAGATACGAACCCTTATGCCTACATTGTACTTAATGTCATTTCATAATTCATCTTCCCTTGAACTGTAATCCAAAAGCCAGTGCCAAAAATGACTTAATGGCTCAGGGCTACCTACTCTAGACAGGTATCCTCACCTTCTTTCCCTGGCAGGTCTTGCATCTGTCCTTTGCTGGGATCTTCTCTCCCTGGCCGTGACAGTCACTGCACACGCTCTGGATCTGTTGTATCATAGCTGGCCCTAACTGTTGAATCTGAATTTGAATCCCTGAACCTCCGCATGTTCCACACTTTTCTACAGATCCTTTTTTTCCTCCTCGTCCTAAATAGGAACAATAACAAATATATTTTGTTTGTTATTTATGATACTGATACAGTACAACTATGCCTTATATCTTATTAGACGGATGATAAATTCCATTGCTTTAGAATGCAAGATTTTTATTTTAGGTCAAATTATGTTACAATGAATAAAGCTGTTTGTTAATTTAACTTACCTAAAACTAATTAGTTGTGTAGAATAAAAAAAATAGAACTTGTTGATTATTGTACTTATGACATGTCAAATGTTTAATAGTTGGCCTAGTAAATAGCAGGAATTGCTACAAACCATTAAGATCTAAATAGGCCTACATAACTAAGCATCATAGTAATAATTTCAAATAGTTTTATAGTTAAGAAAATGCAACATCAAATACATCTGAAAGACAAACCAAACTTCATACAAGTAGAGCATTAACATTATGTGATGGATGGAGGGAGAAAACTGGTGTAACATTTTGCGTTTCACAGAATATAAAATAGCCAATCTGAGGATTTTGAACAAGGTATCACAACAAGAATACAGTATCCAGTGTATTCCTTTCATGAGGTTACAACCAAAAAATAAGTTCTGTGAACAAGAAGCACTTGTCAAGAAATGAATGTGGTTACATTATTTTGTCACAAGTTCAGGATGCTTCTATAATTATTAAGGTCATCTGTAGCCATTTAAGAAGTATACGTTGAAAACTATAATATTACTGTTCACATACCTTCACACTTCTCACAGATAACATTCTTCTCTAGAGCGAGTTTGCGAACCGCGCCTTTGTATAGATCTTCTAGGGAGACTGATAGCTGATGAACCACATCCTTGCTCCTGCGCTCTCTGGGCTCTCCTCTTCTACCACCGAACCCTCCTCGGAAAAACATTTCAAAGATGTCCATTGGGTTTGAGCCGAACCCTGGTCCACCTCCACCCTCCTTCAGAGCTTGTTCGCCACCCTTATCGTAGATGGCTCTTTTCTCGGGGTTGCTCAGCACCTCGTAAGCTTGTGAGATTTGTTTGAACTGTAAAAACGAAAAAACCAGGTTTAAGCATTGAGAGTTAGAAACCAATTCCACTAATTTAATTTGCGATTTAATTTTGGAGAACACAGCAGCTCAAAAACACTGGTAGGGAAGGGCAAAATTATTTTTCCTACAGTTACCTAACAATTTACATGTTCTCTCACTGATTTGAGAAAGCAAAGTGGCCAATTCGCTCATCAGTGAGACAATGTTAACATTGTCTCACTCTAATTACTTTGTCTCAGTCCAGATTTGCAACGTGAAGGCACGAAATAGTAAGCGCCTAACATGCAGGCAACGTCGTATGCGCGCGAAATACGTTGGCAGCACTGGCTGTAAATCAGCTGGTCAGCTGTTGTACTGTTGTATTTGTCACTTCACATTAAATGTTATATTAAAAGTTCACTTCTGTGTAAAAATAGGTTATGTTTCTTCACCAATTTATTTGTTTTATGGTAACTGTAGGAAAAGTATAATGTGCAACTCGAGTTCAAAGTACAACTGCCTTACTCGAGAAACCGTTCCTCACTCGCCTACGGCTCGTGAGTAAGGATTTCTCTCGAGTGAGTCAATTGCTCACTTTTCTCACTAGTTGCACAAATAACTATTTCGTACAAAACAAACAAATACCCTACCACAAAAATGTTACAATTTACTTCTCGATAACATAACAATAATTACAAATTAAGAGAAAATTTGAAATCACAAAAATAACTTACCTTCTCTCCTTCATTGGGATTTTTGTCCGGATGGTACTTTAAAGCTAACTTTCTGTATGCTTTCTTTAACTCATCTGTTGAACAGTTGGGTTTTACACCTAGCACGTCATAAAATGTTGTTTCTTTAACCATTTTGTAATCACAGTTGTACCTGAAAAAGTTCTTAAATTCATTATGTGTACAAGTAGCATGTGAGTATATAAACATAAAATCAGGAAACCAACAAACTAAAAAATAATTTTTTTTATTAAAAAGTATATAAAATAAAGGTCTCTAAGTACTAGGCCTAGATAATAAATTCAGTATACACAAATAGGCTTGCTGGAATTAATCATCTAAAAATAAGAGTGTGATCTTCAGCTTTACTGCTAAACCAAATAACCAGCCTTCTTGTTAAAACAGCGCCAAAATAAAGTACGGTAGCCTAAATCTAAAATCAATTGTTTTCTTTATTTCCTAAACAAAGTTATCAAAAAAGTTTACTCAGCTGAATGTCTACCCGATGAAGTATAAATCAACAAGCTAGATCCATACACAATACGCTAACACACAAAAAATTGGCTTGGATATTGTTTTGTTAGGATTACAAGAATTTGGATTTGACCATACCTAAAGCTATTAAAATATTATTTTGTGGAAACCATAAATAACACTGACAACTAGTAGGGAAACAATTGATATAGAAGTATGGAGCTAAACCACCACCACTTCAATATTCCGCCAAAAAACTGTGAATAGTTTTTAAGACAAGTCATGGACCAACCCAAGACTCGCACATCACGTGAGTCAGGCGATGGAGTCGGTGTCCTGGAAGCGAAGGCTCAACCTGGCTGGCTAGATACGTGGGACATGGGGTAAGGCCCCGGTGAGGTTATTCTAAATTGTTCATATTATTTATTTCAGGGTCAATAATGTCCATTTTAACTTCAGTGTCAGCATTTAGATATCAATATTACTTTAATTAATACTTCACGTTGTGTCCGGTCAACTTTGGACCGTTAATTAATATCTCGATTGAAAGTTAATAATTCCAAAGTAATAATGATTTAACTAATGCTAGCATTCATCTAAGATGGCCCCTTGGGCCTGTGATTCGCGGTAAGCTGTGTCCTCTGATTAAAAAGGTTCAATGCTCGTTTCCAACATGAATGGTAATGTCGTAACATCCACCAAACAGCCAGACAGCCACAGATGAAATTTCTATAGCATTTGTTTTTTTGTTTTACTTGAACCCAAAGTTGCTAAAAGTATTTGTGAAACACCCTGCAACATGATACAGCAGCACAAGGTGTGAAATTCAATCATAGTACATGGTTTCTAGCCTCCTTTATTGTATTTTGAGACTTGTTTTTCTCCTAGATTCAATCATGGGTGCCCAAAATAGGGGGGGGGGGATAGCGTCACACTTGCACCACTGGGATTTTTCGGGAAGATTTTATTTTTATTGCCATTGATAATTTATATAAGGTTTATAAGGTAGGCCTATATGAGGTTTATAAGGTATATGAGGTTTATACAAGTAGCTCTAACAAGCGTTTTTGTTAAATTCATGATACTCTATAGCACCCTCAACACAATTTTGGCTTACAACACTTGTTAATTAACAATTAATTGTTTGTCGCAACAACACAATGTCTTCACGACATTGATGGACTGTCAAGATATTGCTGCGAGCACAAGAGACGGTGATGGTGTCTTCGCCACCACAGAGGAATGTCAAAATATTGCCGCCATTGCGGGAAGCAATGATTATGTCTTTGTAGCCCTAACTACAAAGGAATTTCAAGAAATTGCCACTATCACAGGAGGCTATGATGATGATTTCTTCTTGGTCAAGAGAGTGGGAAATGCTCTCAATTTTGGATTATTGTTATGACGACATTATAGGCGGGCAGATAGTAGTCTGCAGTTTGAGAGATAAAACAGGGAGATAAATGCGTAGTTCAATTTTCTCCAGTCCTATAGCAGCTACCTGGTCTTGCGTTTGTCGGTTTGTGGCCTTATGGTCATAATTTCTGGTTTGGGTGATTAAACCTTCCTTTATTCTCTTAATTGGGCATGGCCATTTCTTCATTTTAAAACTACTCAGATTTCACCGTTAATTGGTGTAGGAAGGGGACAGGTGATGAAGTTATAGTACAGGTAAAACTCACCTAAGAAAACATAAAAATTAGTCCATTCATGAAACTTGCAGGAAACTATTGTATATTTTTAGGGGGAAAATATTAACCCTAACAAGTGCACATTTTACTCTCTTGCTATACTCACAGTTCATACAGAAGTGAAGTCAATCCTCTCCAGTTCTTGGTCTTCAGCCTTTGACCTTTGAGCTTTAGCATGTATTCCTGTTTCTTTCTTAGTAAGCATTAAGCATTGAATATAACTTGCAGTGACTTCGTATTGATAATTATTATTTATGATTTAATATACAACACTCCTTTCCCCTTTAAAAAAAAACTTAAACTCTTCTTGAAAATAAAATAAAATAACTCTTCTTTTATAAATGTTCGCAGCATCTTCATTTCAACATAAAATTCATTGTTTGTCAAATGTAAAATAAAATTAACTTAATCTTGCTGCGAACTTGTTCTCTTGTCTACTAAAGATTAAGTTTCTGCGGGGCCGTTATCATCCTTTTGGACCTCCGCAGGGGTTCTTGTTCGTGAGTTATACTTCCTTTAGGTAATGGAGATTTCCGAGGTGATGGAGATTTCTGAGGTGGTAAAGATTTCCGAGGTGGTGGTGATCTCGTGGGACTCTGTGATTGATCAACATGTATATGAGGTTCGACCAGACTTTTGCTTGGTGATAGCACTGGTAAGGGTCGTGGAGGAGTGATTTCTGGTTCTTATTTCTGGTTCTCTTCTCATAATGGGCAATTCACCTTCCAACTCTTTCAAATGATCGGCATGTACAAACCGTTTCTGTCCCCTTACGCTAACAATGTAAGTCACAGGACTGATACACTTGATAATAACTCCCGGCATCCATCTTGTTTCTTCGTTACGGATACTTTTGACCCAGACTTCCTGTCCTAGTGTGAACGACCTCCATTTTCCTCTATGTTGGTCACTGGATTCTTTTATTTTCTGTTGCTTGCTCTCCATGTTGCTTTTGAAATCTGGTTTTAGCAGAGTGAATCTGGTTCTAGGCTGAAAACCCAAAAATAGTTCCGAAGGTGTTCTACCAGTGATTGAGTGAGGTGTGTTTCGGTAAGCGAACATGAAACAATCCAGTTTGTGCTGCAAAGTCCGATTTTGGCCCTTGAGGTTGTCTTGGAGTACTTGCTTTAAGAGAGATGTTTTAAAAGTACCCACCATAGACTCTGCTTGGCCGTTACTCGCCGGATGATATGGAGGGGAGAAAATGTGATTTATTCCATTGAATCTCAAAAAACTTTCAAATTCTTCTGACCTAAAAGGCGGTCCTCCGTCTGTGATGATGTTCTCCGGAACTCCATATGCGGCAAAGCATGTACGTAATTTTTCAATAGTTTTTGAGGCGTTGGTACCATTCATTTGGTATACTTCGACCCATTTAGAGAAACTGTCCACTAGTATCAGAAAATAAACACCATCCTTCTGAGCGAAATCTAGGTGCACACGCTGCCATTTCTTTGAAGGCCACTGCCACGGCTGTAGAGGCAGCTTAGGGGCAGATTTACGGGTCATTTGACAAATCTCACAAGTGTTAACAACATTTTCAATTTGGTCATCAATTTTAGGCCACCACACAAAACTTCTGGCCAAAGCTTTCATTTTGCAAACACCAGGATGTTCTTCATGTAACATGTCTAAGAGGTGTTTTTGAAATTTAGTAGGAATGAGGACTCGATTTCCCCAAAGAATACAACCATTTTCAACTGAAAGTTCGTTCTTTCTCAGAAAGAAAGCTCTTAATGGCTCATCCTTATCTAAATGTGTAGGCCAGCCTTGAAGTGTCAAATCTAAGACTTTAGAAAACAACGGATCTCTTCGGGTTGCAAGACTTATTTCTTTTGCTGTGAGAGGTAGTTCTGGAAATGGAGCAAAAAACTGAATAACTGAAATATCTTCAGAGTTTGGGTCGAGTTTCTTAGGAAGACGTGAAAGAGCGTCAGCTTCTACAATTTCAGAACCTTTTCGATATATGATGTGGTAGTCATACGCAGACAAAATTATTGCCCAACGTTGCATGCGGGCAGCTGCAAGAACTGGGATACCCTTTTTCTCTCCTAGGAGTGCTGTTAAAGGGGCATGATCCGTAATCAATGTGAATGATCGACCAAAAATATATTTGTGAAATTTCTTTACTCCGAATATGATAGCAAGGGCTTCTTTATCTAACTGAGCATAGTTCATTTCGGATTTTGTAAGACTTCGAGAAGCATACGCAACTGGTCGGACAGATCCGTCCGGCATAGTGTGAGACATAACACTGGCGATCCCATAAGGGCTTGCATCGCATGTCACTTGGATTTTCAACTTTGGATCATAAGGTACCAAAACATTACTTTGAGTTAAAAGCAGTTTACTCTCATTAAAAGCTTTTGAACATTCTGAATTCCATTGACAGGGTTTGGCTTTATGAAGCAACTGATGCAATGGGTATAACACCGTGGATAGGTTAGGGAGAAAACGCCCATAAAAATTCAATAGGCCTAGATAGGCTCTTAGCTGGGTAACATCGGTAGGTTCGGGTGCATCCAAAATAGCTTTAACTAGTTTATCGGTAGGGTGTATTCCGAACTCATCAATCCTATGTCCAAGGAAATTCAAACTGGGTTTAAGGAACTCACTTTTCTGGTAGTTAGCCTTGATACCGAATTCTTTAAGTCGCACTAGAAGAGCTTCGGTTTTGTTTACTGCATCTTGCATGTTGTGGCCTTGTTTACTGCATCTTGCATGTTGTGGCCTACAATCAAAATATCATCCAGAAAACAGTATGTACTATTTAATCCTTTTAGGATCCGGTCCATGACCGCTTGGAACTGAAAAGGTGCACTCGTAATCCCAAAGGGTAGTCTTTTGTACCTGAAAAGACCTTTGTGGGTGTTTACCGTTAAGAATGGTTGCGATTTTTCGCCTACACCTAACTGCAAATAGGCTGAAGTCAAATCAATTTTTGAAAATATTTTCCCACCTGAAAGTTTTGTGAAAATATCTTCTGATG